AGCGAACGACAGGAAAAGTGAGCAGACTCGAAAATGGGATAGTGAGCAACAATTCTACCTCCCTTCTGGTCCGATTGCATTTTTAATTTGTAGTTTCCACAATACAATCTTTTTCGAGGAAGCAGGTGATGCACCATTAATAAGCTCGCAGGGAAACAGAATCTCAAAGAAAAAGAAAAATTCTTCGTTTTACTGAGATAAAAGATGATTTTTTCGTTGTTATAAGGTTATAATATAAACGTTATAATTTGTTTTGTATTCCAGCATTATAAAAAACCTTTTCTGTTGCAAGAAATCGTTCATAATCGAGCATTTTACGGCACAAATGATGTATTATATTTTAGGTCACGAATGATTGCGTCATCACACATTCAGCCAATCGTAGCGAGAGAATCGGGGGGAGCTAAACGGAACATCGTTTACTCGCACGATGTCAAAAACCCGAGTTGTCACAGGGAAGTTGTTTCGCAAAATTAAGTTTGATTCTCTTATAAATGTATAATGCTGTTATACAAAAAAATATAGTATGCAACTCGTTTATAATGTTGCTTTATTACATTCGTACAAATTTGAAAACTCGCTCCTAAAGTTGCTCGTTTTGAAAACATGCATTCATGCAATAAAGCTTAAAATTATAAACTAATTGCATAAACTACTATTAATCAACTTGAATCACCGAAGAATTTTGTGGGAAAGTTTCTTTGCATGGTTTTGGTTCTTTTCCCATGATGTAAATTAATGATATTAATTTTTCTTTTTCTCTAACAATTCAATTGATTTACTATTGTTTTATCATGTTAATGGGGTTCTAACCCACAACAAAAGAAAAAAATCTTCGAATTAAAGAATCTCAACTTTTCGAGGTTTAATTGTATGATATCTTGTACAGTTCTTGTAATTAATAAGAATTTTTGATTGTCGCATTCAAATGGCATCATACCGTTCAATTGCAACAAAAAATATATTATATTTTAAAAGAATTTCATTGTTTCATCTAACGAATAGTTCGTACATATGTATTATTTATTGTAAAATATTGTTATTACAATTATTTTTAATAAAATATCTTTATTCTCATGCCAGTGCCTTTGCGGATTGAACAAACGCGTGATAAATGCACGTTATGTTCCCAGTCAAGCCATCACCCCAACATGATCCAGTTTTTTACATTGATATATTCTCCTCTGTACAAAACTGAATTTCTTTTTCGTCTAATGTTCGATTACCTTAAAATCTGAACCCCCCATTGCTTCACCATTCCAAACGTGTGCTCATCGGAAGCCTCAGCGGGGCTCGAACGAGTGCGCAGGGCAGCGGAACCGAATGCCGGGGGCGGATGGGGACTGGGCGCTGGAGGATCCACGCGCGGCGGGGCGGGCGGGGCTGAGGGGGCGGAGCGCGCCGCCGCCGCCGCCGCCGCCGCCGCCGCCGCCGCCGCCGCGCTGGACCGTGGATTCACGCTGCCATGGCGCGCGCGCCGACCGCCCGGGACGAGGCCAGTGCAGGCGAGGCGCCACTTCGCTGCCGGACGCGTGCTGCGACACTACAGCTCGTGCCGCCTGCGGTCGATAATTAGTTATTGCTCAAATTTGCTAATGTTAGTTCCTCTCCATCGGAGAAGGAAGTCATACACTTATTACATTTAGCGCACCTCAAAGTCTCGTATCATTCGTAATCCCTTTGCTTTCAATGTTGGAAGAGATTGCTTTTGAAACGGTATAAAATAAAATTTGAGACCATGGCGGCGATCTGATATTGTCAGCACTAATCAGTCAGGAAGCGAATTTCTCACAATAATTTCTCCTAGAATAAGGCTATTCAATGTCGATTACAGGGTATAAACGCATTGCGCGTGGTGACCGCGTCCTCTCACGCTATGGCACCACGAGCGGTACGGCGACGCTGCGGGCCCTAGATGTACATACGTGTAGAATATTAAGGGTATTTTTTCATTAAAATATCTTGTAAAAACCTACTTTTAAATATTGCATATAAAGAAACTTATTGGTACCTCTTATGTTTACTGCTACTCTAAGTTAAATGTAGCTAGTTATTTTTATGCTGTGTGAATGTGATGTATGATTGCGGTGATTAACGGAATATGAATAATAATGCAGATTTTGAGCAATTAGTGCACTTATTAATCAAAGGGATATGTTTGTTTTCTATGAAAGATTGTATTTGTCTGATACGATTTCTACCATGTAATAAGAAATAAAAACAAGTTTGGGAAATGTAGCGTCAAAACACTTCAACCAAACTATTTTCAATTACCTTTTCAAGTAGACCGTTTGGAATAATCGAATCATCGCCCAGAGCCAGAGCCGCAAGGGATATGAAGAACAAACTGGCCCTCGAGAGCGGTCAGGAGCCCTGAGGGCACGGAGGCAACGGCGGGTGACGACCTCCCCGACGCTCTCATGTATAGTGGAGGAGGGCCGGAGTCGTGACGTCACGTGCGCAGCGGCGCCACCCAGGCTGGGCGCCGCGCAGGCGGCCGTGTCATTTGCCTGAAGGCAGCGTGGTTCGTCGCATGCCTATACATTATCCAAAGCGCCCACCTGCCGACACGCCACAGGCCCTCCGAGTGGCGCCGCGGCGCCGACGCCGTCGTCGCGTGCTCGGGGGCGCTTCACTCGACTTGGCCGACGCTCCTCGTAAGGAACGCGGGGTTATTACGCCCGCACTATGGCATCTTCAGCTTTCTTTCCAATGTTTTCAGGTAGTTTCCGCTACGCGATTCATGCTACAGAGTACGAGTTATGCAACCCTCTATACTCGGGCGAACGGCAAGTAGCATCAACTCCTTCCTCCCTCTTGGTACTTCATGGGATTTCCCTGATGTTTAAGACTGCGTGTAATTTCATTTGAAAGTAGCGACATTAAATATTATTTTAAAATATATCTCACCCAGTAATTAATAATTAACACAACAAAAATGTACAAACTTGAATTATAAAACATCGTTACATTAAAACGAAAGTTTCAAAGAACACTAGAAAACCAATGTTCAGAATACATTTTACGAGTTCAAGTCTTTTACCTCTTGAACGAATCCATGTACACCTCATGCAGCCTTGAATACTGGAATAACGCAATTGAACCAATTCTTTAATACTTTGAACATTGAATTCAATATATAAAAACAAGTTTAAAGTCCATCTCTTCAAATGATTTGACACGCGTGTCTGTTTCGCGAACGGTGTACGCTCCAGAAACGCGAATCGCTTGTGTTGCGCTGCTTCTGCGGCGGAAGCCTCTTCCGGGCAGCTCGCGTGCGCCGCCCTCGCGTGCTGCCGCCAGATTCTTCTCCACTTGTTTGGAAATTGTTCTTTCCTCGCGGATCGCAGTCCCTGCCGATGCCTCCCGCGTTAGGGTGAAAGCGCGCGAGGGACAATGGAATACCTTGAGACCTTTCCTGTTTACAGTGCCGGAGCTAGATAATTTTGGGGCAATGCTGAAACATAGACACACTCCCTTCGAAAAAAAAAATTAAAATAGGCAATATGTTTAAGGAACAATTCGAGTTATTTTATTTCAACAAATATTAAAAGTACAATGTTTCATTTACGAAAAGTTTTTGGAAAATATTTTAAGCATTTTTTTAAAAATTATTTTAAATTTTCAGAATTGCCATTTTTTATTTTACAGTCTACCTTATAATAAACAATTATAATTAAATATTTAAGGTTAAAAATGAATTGAAAATTGTATGAAACATCAGGCCATCGTACCGCGACTTGTAAATTACAATAACGAGTTTCTCGAGTTCGAACTTCTTTTCCCGTCAGTCCCATCGAGGGGCCCGAGGCCCCACGGCCCAGCGCCGGCGCTGCCTATTGACATCGGGTGATACATCTTCCTTCTGTTTTGTGCAATGTAGTTCCGGTAGGGACTTACTCAACTTTTTTTCTTTCTTGTGACACAAGAGGTTTGACTTTAGCAAGAATTATAATTAACTATGTAATTCTAGACTACTATATAATCAAAATTTTGAAAGATTTTGCAGATATTGTTATAGGTCTTGCATATAAAATTAATTACATGATTTTCTTTAACAAAATATTCATCCCCATAGTTCTCATAAATTAAGAAATACACTTCCACTTGGTTTCAAGAGTAACCAACTACAATTTATCAACAAAACTATCCCACTGTGTTGAAAATAAATCTTCATGCATTATGGTATTCTGTTAAGAGAAGTCATTTTGAGGGTGCAAGTTAAGGATTGTAGAGATTACCGTAAGTCTTTCAAGCCGTCCTTTGACGGTGATGGTCGAGTGTCATCTAGTCATGATGTAGTGAACCGCAGAGCAAGTTCTGAAAGGCTAGATCCCTTCAATATGATCTCTGTCTGCGGGGTAGTGTATTTAACTAGTCTTATCTTAATTATATCCTAGTCTACTATATACTAGTCATACAGCTTATAATAAATGCCACTAATTTGTATGTACTATAAATAATCTTTGAAAGAATGTGAGTGGTGAAGTTTTAAGTTCACAATTATTTCTTATGTATTGATATTGTAATTAAAAATATAATGTGTAATTGAAACTGTTACCCAAAACCAACCATAATCATATTTAATATACATGTCACAATGAATACATGTTGTATCTTGGTTTCAGATAAATTTAAAATGAAGAAAATACTAATGTAATAAAATAAAGATTGCAAATGTACAAAACTGTTCACAAACTCTAATGTACAAATACTGTTATATTCTAGAAATGTTAGAATTAAGTGATTTTTGTACTGTAAATAAGTTCAGTATTCAGGTTGTGAATAGTACTGTGGATGTAAAATGCAACAAATAAGCTTTTCACTTAAGTAAGCTTTTTGTGTATATTTGTGTCCTTTGAATAAAGCTATTTGTTGTCATAGAGAGCTTTCCCACAAGACAAGACTATTCCATTTAGTGATGCAAACTAATCAATGTAAATATATATAAAACGTAATTTATGCATAAAGAAAAGTTACGAATATCTTTAAACTTGTCATTCAGCAAATTTGATCTCTTCTTTGCAGTAGCTGACGTGTACATTTGTTTGAATGTTATGCCAGTAATGAGATATTTTCCAAATAAAGCTTGTTCTTCCATGAACGTAATACAGGGTGCATTATTCTGTAACATTATTTCAATCCAGTAACAGGTCATTAGCTGCAGACATTTTCTTGGTATGATATATTATTCAATCATTTGTACAAATAAGAATTAAACAAAATAGGTATTGTATAATACATTACATCATTGTACATTTTATGTACATTACATACATTACATTTCATCCTACTAACCATTTCACAGAATGGCAATTACAATCACACATATTCTTGATTCCGTTTCATTGGCATGTTCCGAAACAGGAAATGTTTACATATTTTAAGCCCATATATTGCAAAGATTAAAGTCCACCCTTAACATCAACCATTCACATTCTTCACTTCAATCAGACAAGAATAGGATTCAAACATGTAAAATATGAAAGACCGTTTTCACAACTAAAGAGCTCATCTTTATAACTAGAACATAATGAATGAGTTCAGAAAGATGAGAATAAGCATTCTAATTCAACATAGTTCACATTAACAATTTTTCCACAACTACATTACAATAGGCACCATTCTGGCTCTTTCCACCCACAGCAAAAACATATATCATAATACAATACTGATGTAATGAGCTAGGAAAAGATCCAAAATTGTTAGGAAGTCTACAAACAAATTATTTGACAGTCATGGCTCCAAGACCTGAAACAAAAAAAACATTATACAAATATTTATAAAAATTCAAGTTTTTGAAAAAGAATTGGATTCACAGAACATGCATTACTAAAAAATAATCTAACTGAAATAATTTTAATAAACAGAACTATTCTAAAAATTATGTAACCAGTACAATATGTTTTTGTCAAACCAACAACAGATAGAAACATCATCATGCATTTCTTAAAACTGCTGCATTTGTGGATCACATTCATCATCTCGAACAGAAAATTGTCTCTTGAAAGAATAAGATATAAATATATTTATTTCCAAACCCCATTTAAAAGATTAAAGAACAGATGCAAAAGTAAAAATTTCAATGTATTAATATTACACAATTTTTCTACTTACACTTTATTGCTCCTCCACTGCACCATACTTTCATTTATTTTTCAGCCTATGTAATCCAAATTATCTAACAAATAACAAATCAAGTTTAAGTATAGACACCAAAACTAATATGGACAAAAATTTTACATTTATAGCACATTTACTCTAAACTGTACTTGCATGCATAATTGGACTGTGTTGGGCATCAACACACTAAGCGCTAATTTTTGATAGTTCCAACTAGTATATTGAAGACAAACCAGAGGTAGTATGAAAAATATCAGGCCTGTCTTTTTTATAAAGAACATTTATATTTTATCAAATTGTGAACATCATTCCATAAGAATACATTTTTTGTATTCTCAAAGCAATTCTTGGTTGTTGGATGCATAACACAATCCAATTATTCAGTTCACATATTTATTTTCATTCAGTTTCCCACACTCGCCTATGAACTTTTCTCTCAAGCAAAAGATTTTTCAAAAATACAAGTAATAGAGAGGAAACTGCTTCACCAGCCAAATGTGCAGGAACACAAAAGTACCTCAGGTAAATGACAAAATGATAGTTTAGGAAAGCAATGACTTTGTAGCATTTTCTCACTCATAGAATATAATGTTACTTACCAGATACACATTGAATGATGCTATCTAATGACTCTTTCGAATTATTATCCTTTCGACACCCAGGTAATATATCTAGTTCAAAATCTGGTCCATAATCCATAAAATACTGTAAAAACAAATAAAAGAAATTACACAGACACCAATTATCTTTTTATTAAAATATAATCATGATGTAATCATTTTCACAAAAGTTTTATTACCAATATAACTACATGAATCAAATACCCATTACACCCATTGAAAAATATAATAGCAAAATATCACGTGTACAATGCGAAAATGGTTATTGTAATGCAACAGTCATAAAGACATTTCCATCACGCATTATTTGAAGAAAACAAGGAAAAAGAAAAACTGATTAAGAAATAGCTGTGTTTTTCTACCTTTTTGAAATGTATTAATTAATTTTCTCACCAAATATTAAATGATATTAACGTTATTAAAATGAGCAGGGAATGAATTATTTTTTCAAATAGTACTAAGGTGTAGATGATCCAAAAAGCAAGAATTAAAATAAATGGTGTTCCATTACTAGAAACAACATGTAAAGCAATAAACACAGTGAATTAAAAATTCCTAAGTAAAAACAAATAAGACATTCACTAAGAACTGGTAATGGAGCATATAAATTGTAATGTCTCCCATCTTTTTATAGTTAGTTAATAGATTTCCCCGAAATTCACATGGTAGTAGAAGGATAAATTTGAAAAAAATATAATTCCAAATCAGCAGCATTAAATATGAGAAAAGATTGGACATGAATACATTGTTAGAAATTCAACAAACTCGCCTATTTACTATTAGATTATAACTAATGCAATCTAGTATATGATCAAAATCATTAGAAAATGTTACATGAGCAGTGAAATAACTGATGATCTATCAAGTTTCTGGTTGTACTAGTAAACGAGAATGCCTTAAAAATACAATGTACTCCTCACAAACAAACATCTCCACTGTTGTACATCATAAGTATGAACACTCTCAAAAAGAGTAATTAATCTGTTGCTTGAGCACGTTTTCTGCATAAACGGGCTTCCTAGTCCTCGTTCAGCGCTGAATAGCACGGTTCGGTTCAGATATTTAGCTTTGACTATAGACAGTATTCACCAATTTACAATGCTATCAACAACCACTATGGCATGTATTGACTTTTGAAGTTCTTGCCTATAGTTGGTAGCCCTTCTCCCTTCACACCCCCTGCTGAGGAATATCAATAAAACTTGCACATGTAGTAATAGCAACTATACTTATTTCCAACGTATACAAATTGAAAGTAAACTAGGCCCCCTCTAGCTTTGGAGTTTTCTAATGTTTCATTATATACCTAGGAAACACAGGAATAATCCAAAAACAATGAAACAGTTTTGCTTTTAAGTGAAAAATACAGATATTTGATCGTGCTATTCTGTCTATTCTCATATTCAGAGCATCACCACTTTCAACATGGCTGATGTCATGCAATATCAAGGCTCAAAAGCATAGTCTGCCTATTTGCTATTCACATGTTGCATTAATGAATAGCAACTTTCTTTTTTAATTTGTGGTATTTAAAGACTGTGTATTTTATTTGTTGTTCCTTAAAAGGGTGCAACCAATGATTTGGAAAAGTATTTTGTGTGCTATTGTTTAGCAGCATTTTTGCTGCTTCAGGCCATTACTTGGTACTTACTCTCCACAAATTAACACAAAGTAAATTATTGAAACTGATAATAAGGATCATTTTAAAAACCTATTTCTGGATACAAAAGAAACAAAGGGCTTGTTTGGCAAAGTAATGGAACAAAGTATACAACTTGGACAGGAGTAATTTTCAGAGATTACTAATGCAATACTCAACCTCATGATCAGGAATACTTGACTTAATTTCCTGCTCCACAATAAGTGATGTTAAATATGTCCAGCAACGTGCAACATTTGGGTGGTTGTACCCACCTAGCAACACAAAAATATCATATCATTTATACATACAACTGTGACTTTATTAATGGAATCAACATGGACCAGTTCAACTCACCACCGCCAAGAAACATTGTAGGCAAATTCCACGAAAGTATAGTTTTAACACATTTTGCAAACCCTTGAAGGGTCAAATTAAAAGCATTTGTAGGATCACCGCTTAGTCCATCAGCACCACACTGAACAACTATAACTTCTGGATTGAATGTTTTCCAAATTTTCAACATAACACTACAAAATTTCATTAAAATACAATAATCAATGCAATGCACTTTTTATTTTAATATGCAAGAATGAAAAAAGTGTTTCTACCTATCAAACACATAAGAATATAAAAAATCACGTAATCCATCAGCTAAAGGAATATTTACTGAATAATAACGTCCTTGACCATATCCAACATCTTTCACATTTCCTGTTCCAGGATAGAAGCATGGCTCATATTTATGGAGAGAAAAAGTTAGTACTGATGGTGAAAAAGCAAAAGCATTTTCTACGCCATCACCTGCAACAATACACAACAATACTGTAAATTGTTTTGAAATTAAAGTGCTAAACTTTAAATTTCCTTTTATTTCTCCAGATGGACACAAAGTGGCATAGAACAGTCTCGAGCCAAGCTCTTCAATTATAGTTTCAGTCCCTATATAATAAATTCTATCCAAATGTGCAAAAATACTTTAAGTGTAAAATTAAATTTTCTATTCATCACCAACAAAACTAACTAAATGTTCACTTTAACACATTTACCACAAAAACCTAAATAATATGGAAATTGATACAAATTCAATGTGTCCTTTTAGAAAACCATTCTAATTAAAGAAATTTAATTTTACTAATATATGATAATTATGCTCATTTACAAACTTTGTTTTTAGGATCATGATTAGAAGCAACTTCCTGCAGCAGTGTCCTTAGAACTTTGCAACACAAGGCTTCAGCTCTAAATCAGCAGATTCCTACCATCAACTCACATATTCTTTCCCAATTCACAAATACTAAAAAAAATTGGTATTTTAACAGTCTGTAAAGACCTAGACTTAATAGTAATAGGAAATAAAAACTCTGAAAAGCTCCAGCCAAGATTTGAAATTAAACTATTTAATTAAATATATATTGAAATACTTGTTTTCAGCTGAGGGTCGTGAATAAATCCTTATAACACATATACAGAATATTTACAGCTTACCATGATGTGCATCAAGATCTATATATAAAATTTTCTTGTATTTTTGGCGTAATTTGTGAATAGCGAGAACAATGTCATTTACATAACAGTATCCATCTGCCTGGTCCCTAGAAAGAAATATTTACACAAAAAGGTTAAAGGTGCAAGTGCAAGTTACCTTTTGACAAATTATTAGCTAAGGGTTGTATTTTAAGGCTAAACATGATAATTATCCTTAACATAAAATTTGATTGGATGCATCGTATACAATACATTGATTCTAATTTCTGAAAGAGACTTGTATTTCACAAATTTTTAAATTGAGAGAAATGTAATATTAAGAGAATTAGGAAAACCAGTATTATTTTATATATAAAAGGGCTAAAAAACCTTCAAAGGAAGTAAAACAATTTCACAAAAGATAGGGAGATATAAAAATTGGAGCCAGCATCAAAAACAATGTTACAGAAAAACTAGTATGTTATCACCATCAACCTTGGCTAATGAAGTTCTTATTAAACCATGATCCAGACTCACAAAACTTTAATTTCTAGTCACATTAGCAGTGCAATGTATGTGTTTAATTCTCATTTTAACAGAGAAATTAATTATAATTACCAATCATTTACTTTTTATTTTAAAATTAATACTCTGTAAATTATTTGTGTGCTATTTAATTTTTTAAATATAAACCTACTTTTAAATTAAATTCTGGCATCACAGTTTTTCTTTGAAACTGTACTTTTTCTTTTCCAAATTCTAAAAATATTGATTGACAAGTCATTACCAAAAGGATAATTTCCAGTCAAATAGCAATCCTTCTATATTGTGTAAGTTCTATATTTGATTTTGGTGATGTTATACTCATTTTGTGGAGTCTTGGTAGGTAAGAAGTTAGCTTACTTGCCTCTGAACCCCCAGTGTGCGGGTTCAATCCCGGCAGAGGTACCCGGATTTTCAAAGGGCGGAAAATCCACAGTAGCCACATCATACTTGTGTCATGAAAACGAACCCTTGTGGTATGCCCGGCAAAACTAAATCCCTCCTATAACATTCGCCCTAATGAGATCTCACTTTCACCCAGACAGTTTGGTTATAGTAACAGAGACCAACATTAGTGGAGAAAGTGTGTCAAATTCTAGGCACATTAGGGGACTGCTTGCGAGGCGCACATGCTCGATAAGGTCCCCAGACCCAGACGTGTTGGAGGTAGGCTTTTACGAAGTCCACTCTGAATGTTTATCCTAAAAACACCCATAATGGGTCACCATAATTCCATATAAGGAATATAGGACCAAAGAAGAAGATATTCATTTTGTGGCTACTTCTTTGTAATCCTGGATAACAGAAACGTCTTCAAAACCTAGTTTGTGAGCCACTATTCTAAAAAATTGTGAAGTGTTTCAAGATTTCTCATATTGATCGACATGATTAGTGACTCCTAAGAAGAAATCAGCAACTTAGGTGTAATTAACATCGAGAAAGGAGACCTTAATGCTGAAATTGAATTGAGTGCAGTTTCTGATATGTCTAACAAAACCTTGAAACTGAGAGGCCCTGTTAACTAAGTTGTGTATGTTTATCAAATGTTATTTTAGTATCAAAAACTACCCACAGATCTCTGTTGACATTCTTTTCAAAACTGTTGAAATAATAAAATAATCTGCATCAGTAGTAAATAAATAATCTGCATCAGTTCTTGCTTCGGTGAACATAATGTTGCATTTCTTCAGGTTAAGATAAGGCCATTGTTGGAACACTTACTAGCAAAAATGTTGAAAGCCTTCTGCAGATTTACTCTGCCCTGAGGGGTCTTTACATTCACAAAAGTTTTGAGATCATATGCATGTAGGAAGAATTCTGGATCTTCCAAATTCCTACTAGTAATATCAATAAAAAACAGAAGCCAAAGATGACCAAAGTTAGAACATTGAGGGACATCAGTTGACACCATAATAGCATGAACATATTGCAGCTTTCAAATGAGAAGTGGTTAATGGAATCAAAAGCTTTGCTGAATTCAGTATAAACACTGTCAACTTGTAATTTCAATGGGGTTAACAAAATTTTCATCAATGGGTTAACAAAATTTAAACTTATATAAGAAGATAAAAAAGCATTGTTTTTTGAATTTGTACAAAGTACTCAGGGAAAACTGATTTAAATCCAACAAAAACTTGTTTTTTTTTATTTCTATAACACTTTTCAACATAAAAATGTTTTATTCCCGAGGGCAAATTTACTTACATTCCACTACCTCCTTTTGGTCAATATTGTCAGCCTAGTCTTATGTTGAGTACAGTTGTACCCAACGGAAGCAACAAAAATCCAATAATTTAATTCTGAAATGAATATATACTGAAAGTAGTTCCAGAGGAGGGCAATTATATTTCAGACCCCCTCCCTTAATAAATTGGTTCAAGATGAATATCACTTTTTAGAATATAAATTTCTTTCTGAAAGATTGCACACAGGTTTACAGAGAATAATCCCTTACAATGTGATGCTATCAATATGTGACAACTGTTTTGATTAAATTGAGCAAAATTTAAAAAAATCATTGGATCTGGGAGAGTCTTGGCTCCTGAGCTAATCTCCGTTTTGCTTACTGACATCATTTGTTCATTTGAGCTGCCTCTGCAATTACTGGCCCCTAACATGCACACCAAAATTAACCAAGCTCTTCCAGCAATCATTGCAGATGTAATACAAAACTGTATTGAGGATGATAGTCCCCTGCCGCAAGAATAGAAAGGCCACTGCAGATGATATATAATGTAAATAAAATATAAACAATAAATATTTGTCAATAATTGACTGGTTCTAGCAACCCAAGAGCGGGCTCTGAGAACTTATAGCAGTCAAGCGAAACAGACAACAAAAAGAAAAAGAGGATCATAGTTTATTCCAGTAGGAATTGGAGTTTCAAAGGGTCAAAGACCTAATAGAACCCCCCTGAGACCCCTAAGAGCTCAATGCAAGTCTAGCATTCCAACTGCAAAAAGTTGCACTGTTGGCACCATTCGTATTGTGCATAGATTAAATTCCAAGGTTCTTAGGTAGGAACAAAATCCAGAGAAGTATTAACTGACCTTTGGACTATGAAAGAGTGTACAACAATAAGGAAAATAACTATTTTTTTCATAAGTAGTAAATATGACGATTATTCTCTTATAATCATATAAAAGAGGACCAGTTATTTGAGTACCCAAGTAGCTACCCTCACCAAAAATTGAAAATGGATCTCCCAGTTTGGAGTATCATTCTAACTAACTGTTACCCACCCAACTAGTATTTTAAATAGCTTCTTAGACATAATTTATAGTCAAGTTTTGAATCATATTTCTCACTGCATTCTGTCACTTTATCGAGTATGCCAATATGTTTGAAATGTGCTCTGCACAGTAAATATCACCCTTAATGTGATCTGGTTACTACACAATAGTATTTAATAATTCAAACTGTTTAATTTGAATTATAAACTATTTACCCGCAATCACAGTATATCAGAATTAAATTCATAAAATTATTTATTATTATTATAAATTTACTTATATTACTTAAAAACAAAAACTAATAACTATAACAAAAAATTTGTGTAATAACAAGTCTGACTAAAAATTACAATGGACGCATAACCTCTTACTGCAAATAGCTATCTCACACCTCTGGGCATGGTGCCATCCACCAAACCAATTAATTGCAACTTTTGCTTTTCCTCCCACAATAGCCTCAGCTCCACTAATTGAACTTCCAGCAATAGCTTTTACAAAGTCATACAGTCTTTCAACCAGTGGACAATCATAATCTGTAACAAAATATGTCATAATTAAACAAAAATTTAAATACATAGTTTGGTTTTAAACATTTTTAGAACTAACAACACTTACATTTATTAAAAGTTCAAAAATGTAAATTTGGTTGAAATCTGTCTTGATTATATATTTTTTAACACAATTATTTTTTATTCTTATTATGACAAAACAATTATGTCCCACAGCATTAACTTGCTGATATTTATTCACCATAAAATGTCTTATTAGACACAAATTTCTCTCTATAATCTTAATTAAAATTTTCACCCATCTTTCTTTGACATGCAATAATCACAAATATTTTGTCATGTTTCACTTAGTAATAAAATAATGTTTTCCAAAGAATTCTGTATGAACACACCCATTAATATTATCACAGACAAAATTCTAATCAATTTTAACATTTTATTAAACACTTGAACTCTTGTTAAAACCTCTATCACTACCTAGATTTATAAGCAGGGCTTGGATTCTGATAACTTAAAAATTCTTTAAAAATTGCCTATAAAATTACTTAAAAATGACCTAAAAAGATTTAAAATGAGAGAAAAATGCCCAATTTTTCGAGTAATACTCAAAAATGTGTAAAAAAATGTTTATTAATTCAATGAATTTTACAATTTACTTATATAAAATTATATTTAACATAAAGTCTTTATTTAAGGAGGGAATGTAGCTTCCAACCCTCAGTTTTGAAAGATCCGAGTAATTTTGAGTTTGAAAAACGGAGTCCATTGCAAAAATGAATTTTGTCATGAACTGATAAAAACTTTTAGTATATGATTGTTAATTCATGAAACATTCACTAACAACAAAACATGAAAAGGATACAAAATGCATAAAAGTGACGGCAAAGGCCCCCCAAAAAATGGCCCAATAATTATACATTTCTATCATTTACTTGTTATGATAAACATTCAATTAAAGGTTGACTATGACTAGAGTGCACCAATGAAAAGATGACAGGTCATCAGAATCCGAGGTTTTTTCCACATTATCATGGTGCAACATTTTATCCTGAAGTAATTCTTTTGTAATATTTTTCTCACGGTATTCAATTTTAAAATGTCAATTGATTTATAAAGAAATGCATGGCAATGGAATGCTTATCTCTGCAAATTGATACATAATTTGACCTATTGATCTTCAGATTCTTTTATGATCTTTGAAGGCAGAGTTGATTTGGCAATGTCACAATTCTGCCAAATGCCAGAAAGATCAGACAAAAAGAAAAATTATATCCACAAATGTACCAATGTAATTATTATTATTATTATTTTTTGGCCAACATATAAATATAACAGAATAAATTCTATAAATGTAAAGTATGGCCTTCTTGGATTCTGCAAGGATATTTACAAGCAAGTTTTAAGCAAGTCAATATTTGTACAAATATGAGATTTATAAGTGTATAACATATCCGTTAAAGGAACAAAATGTAATTGTTTCGTTACATTTTGAAATATACACTAAAATTGTTTAAAAACATGTCAAGTATCATAGAAGTTGATATTCTAGATTAACTTCAATTACAAATGTTTTATTTCCTTCCACATACAATTGTGTGGGATCGAGTGATCTTAATTCCAGGGACATTTTTCATTATTTTTGCCCCTGATTCAAGGAGTACTTGAATTTCGAGAGTAGCGTTCAAGAAATAAATAAAATGTAAAAATATCACAATACATACATCATACTAATTTCAATAAAAAAATACTAACTTAGTCCAAACTGTTCAGCTTCATCTTCATGAACTTCCAAGTCAGAGCTGGAATTGATTTCTTTCAAAAAGTCGATGTACGAACTACTGTGGAATGTGTTTATTTCTTCGTCGTAAGCTGGACGACTAGGATGAACAGTCATTTTATCCAGCAATCCATACGCTCTTATTAATTCGTGCACCTGCGTTGCCTGTCAAAATCGTAAATGAAAACAAATAAATTCATACTGACCAATCTGACATTCACAAATTCACCCAAAGCATTTGCGGAACGAGAATTATCATACCCGACCAGCAATTCGAGGATTCCTATCACATTCACTGCACAAAGTTTCATTGTAAATGTAAATAACCTCTTTTCCATTCATGTTAGTCTCGACGTGACCACGCTGTAATTTCTCTCGAATTTCGTTCAAAACCAATACTCACTCACTCCAGCAGTGATCTCTCGTTTGTTTTCTTCCACGCACCTGTCACGCACGTTTATCAGTGCGATCCTCCAGGATCCCAGGGGATCCTTTCTTGAGAAATTCCCGCGCTCTCATGTCTATAGTCGTCTATAGGTCGTCTCTCTCCACCTGGAACCCTGCTGGAACCGGTTCGAACACAGTGCTACTTTCTTCTCATTCTCTCCACTGCGACAGCCACAGAGCACCCAAGAGCTGGTGACAGCTTGCGAGAGAGTTTGCGACGCACGCTTGCGATGCAAACCATGGATGCGAACGCAATTTCTCACGAACCGGACAGAGCATAAAGATATTGCGCGGCGTACGAGAGACTCGCACACCAGATTTTGCCACCCAACACTTTCCCGCCAAACGTTGCGACGTCTGGACATTTCGGTGAAGAAGTTAATGGGAGTACCTGTAAGTGTCCACACAAGTCAATAGTATTGACATGAAATAACCATATAGCTTCTCTCTTCAAAGCAGAAATTCACTTTTGTCCTTTTTGTTCCAAATAGAATTACCAGACAAAACATTCTTCATGCGACGCCTCAGAAAAACTTCTCGCGAATGCCCCATCCAAAGCGGTGTCCCTCAATGCTGCATAATATATCTTATCCTTATCTTTTATCCGTCTCCTCCCCGCTGATCTATACAATCCCCGAGTGCACCGCGGAGCAGTTTCCTGGATGGTCGGTCGTCTTCTTAAGGGGTTAATGGATGGTCGGTCGTCTTCTTTTATTGTTCACTGGACTTCGCAAGCGCATTGAGCAAACGAAGGCATAAAGAGGGCGATGCAGGTTGTTTTAAGCGGTGGTTAGAGCGAGATAAGTGTTATGTTTAACATACCTTTTTTTATTGTATTAATCGAAAGACGAGAGGTTCTTCTATGTTCTGGTAGAGTTTGAATCAATTTCACCGTCCAGTCTGTGCGCAACGAGACCGTAAAGTTTGCTGTTTTAACATAGGCTCTTATGGGGACCTGAGAGATCGGACCTGAAATTTTAAAATTGTGAGAAAATTAACTGTTGAACATGCTTTTAAAAACTTTTCTTTTGGTAGCTAGCATTTCGAGGAATCAACATGGGCAATTTGAAGGAAATCTACCTTTCAAATGGGAGAATTTTGCAAAATTATAAGCCTGAATCAGTCCAAAGGGAGACGTTCGCGCGCTTTCTAGAGGATCGGGCAGTGACGCGCATCTCGGCAACACCGCGCGCTCAACGCGCTTCATTCAATACGAGTGACAAGACCTTCCAAGAGTTCGTACATTACTCTGGATATTCTGGGATCAATTATGATATCATCACTCCTGGAGAACATTGCGTTTGATAGTAACCAGATATTCAGAAAACTGGAATTTTATGGATATAACGATTAGTGCGATCTGAATGAAATTTTAATTCAATTAATATTCCCAATGACTCACTTTGATACTACTCCCTGAGAAAATGGGTGATCTTGAGAGTTTATAGATTTTTTTAAACATTCAGTACAGTATTATTATTTTGTTTTGTGCCGTACGTCAGTTTCTTGCTCCTGAATAATGATTATTTATTCAATTATTCGAAAATTATTCATATTCTCTTTTTTTATGGTGGAGATATACAGGGGATTGCCATTGTCTTTTGCACCACAGATGCTTACATAGAACTCAAAGCAACAATCTTTAGCACAGATCAGCACCTCAAACGGTATAGCTACTGAGTGGGCATTCAATTCAGAAAGAAATAGACTTTGCAGTGGCTTCAAATGTGTTGCAATGATAAAATACTGTTTTACTGGTGTTAATAAAATGCTGGGGTTAAATAAAACATTTTATGAAATGTTTTGGTAACCATTCAATGTATAGGTGAATGCAGAGCTGGATTTCCTCCAAGTAAAATTAGGCTTGGGACCCCATCCTCGTGCCCGTTTTTTTAAAATAAATATTAAAAACTTCATAAAATGTTTATTTGAATAAGCATTAATCAAATAGTTTACTGAACAACAATGATTTTAAAAATAAATTGAATGGAACAATAAGAAACCAAACATGTATTTGTAAATGATAAATTTAAAAGCAATTTCTACTTTGAAAGCAATTTGTTAATTTACATCTGTATTGGAACAATGATTTATTATATCATAGTTTTTTAGATTTATTCATAATTAGTTTTAAAGATTTTTCTGAATGAGTGCCCAGTATAGTTTTGTACTTGAAGGCCTGTAGTATTTAAATCCACTTGAGCAAATTTAATAATTACATTTATATGTGTAATTAATAGTTACATTTTATTGAAATTGTAAAACGAATGATATATCCAGCCTTTGGTGTTTTAGTATTTTAATAGAAACTCTTTTTCTCATCATCACTATATTTTATCTAATTGTTTGCATTTCCTGAACGATAAAAATGCATTTTGAATGGTTCTCATCTTATTTTCAAAACATTTAAACCTTTTTTCATTTTAGTGCAACAACAAGACAGAATTACAAAAGACTATGCAACTTAGAAATCTCTTTTGAAGGTTTTTTCTCCAACAATGATATAATTTCATTGTTGAAGGTCTCAATAATACAGCTCTCAGAATTATCTGATGCAGTATTTTCATTTTATCAGCTTTAACTTGATGTGTACTTTACACAATAATTTGCATCTAAATCAATATCATAACATGATATAAAATTATGCTGAAAACCAGCAGATAGTTTCTATGAATTATACTATAACCGCACCGCTGTAAATAATACGGCACATTGCAATTGCTAAAATAGTTCTAAAATTTCAATCAAAACTATTAAAACATTAAAAATTGATCATGTAGTTTAATTAACTAAGTAAAAATAAAATAGGGGAATAACAGAAAAAAACAAAATATATTGTGATAAGAAGGATAATAAGGAGCAGTAGAAGTCAATGATTACGATGTCCGTGAAGTTAAATATAAAGCTTTATACAATGTTGGAGAGAACCAAACTTTTGATCTTGTTAAGCAATCGAATAATCTAAGGTTTGCTCTACCATTGGTTCAGGTAATTTAAGAAATAAAAATTAGAGAGAAACAAACATTGAAAATATATTTTAAAACTTTTTATTTCGTATTTTTTCTCGTAATAATGGGGGAATTATTTCGTTTTTCTCAAATTTCGCCTTGGAAATGAATTTTCCGCCAATTCGCTTAGATTGTGATATTTCCCGCGTGTCGACCAGGCAACGAACAGTATTAATTGTGATTCAAAATAACGAAACTTTGAAGAAGCATGAGCTATGAGCAGTCATGCCAATCTCAAGGACATTACGGTGTTACCCAATTTATTATAGACTTTTTCCCCCACTCACACATGGAAAAGTTTGCCATTATTAGCGATCACTGTACAAAAATATATAAAGATGTGGCTATAATGTTACTTTTTATGATTTTACACGTACTTATTGTGTAATAGTGCTTTTTTATGTTCAACTTAGCTTCACTTTTTCCTTCTGTGGCACGCGATCTGTTGCGTAACTAGTAAGCAACTAGTCAACGTAGTCTTTATGTGGTATTAAAATATTTTATTTACATCTATAAATCTAAATTTAATTCGAATAATTAAATGAAACTCAGCATAAAGTCTCTATTTGGTTTAGTAGGTCCCAATACCCACGTATCTCGCCAATATTTTTTTGAACGTAATATGGACTCTCTGTCTACTAGGGAATATCTCGCTCTAACCACCTTAATTCGGGCTCTTCGGCTGCGTAGTGGAATGCATTTTGGTCGTCCTGCGCAAGACGTCACAGTCAAGAGTGTGTAAGCAACTTTTCATGTGAAATACTGGTGCATGTTTGTTGTTTGCGGTTTGGTCCCCTTTTGTGAAGAATTTGTGATATCAAAAATATACAATATCGAGATTAAGATTACACAATATTAACTCACAGTTTGTTTTAGAGTGGCAGTGATAAAGATGCTGTTTTGGAGTGCGTGTGTGTGAGGTGTTTGTGTTTCCAAATTGAGGTTAGGTTAAGGAACTAATTTTATTATATTGTGCGAAAATGCCGAATTTTGCCGTAGAAGTTTGTGAAACTACCATTAAAAAACCAAAGGAAATGATGTAGTGTATCATTTTTCCCCCGCAAGATCCTATTCTGAGATGAAAATTGATTCATATTTGTAAGTGTGCAGGCATTTAATGTACAACATGCTACAATATGCAGTCTTCCTTCTCTGTAAGTGTTCACTGCTGGTCTGCCACGTTGGTTTTGGTGTTTTCAGTAGATCCAATTAAATACACTGAGGTGACAAAAGGCATCGATTACCTACTAATATTGTGTCGGACCATATTTTGCCCGGCGAAATGCAGCAACTCGACATGATATGGACTCAACAAGTTGACGTAAGTTCTCTCCAGAAATATTGAGCTATGCAGCATCTACAGCCGTCCATAATGTTCATAAAAATCACGAACAATTAACAACTATCATCATAGAGGTACCCATTGGAGATGATCTCGATCAGAAATAGGGATATGATTTTACGCTAATTTGCAGTTACTCGTTACTTCAAGTCACTACCAATTATAAAACAAATATAAAAGCCAATACTCACTTGTAAAGTGGTAATCTTGCTGATCTGGTTAAATAAAATTTTAAAAATCGCAAATAATTGTGGCCTGGAGACGTGGCGCATGTCATCTATTAAAAATTCCATTGTTGTTTGGGAATATAAAGTCCATAAATTGCTCCAAATGGTCACCAAGTACCTGTACATAATCATTTCCAGTCAGTCGGATCATTTGGACCAGAGGACCCAGTCCTTTCCGTGCAAAACTCACCATTATGGAGCAACCTCCATCATGCACAGAGCCTTGTTGACGACTTACGTCCACGACTTCGTGGGTCTGCCCCACACTCGAACCCACCCTCAGCTATTGAATCAGAATTGAAATCGGGTCACGTGTGACCCAGTTTTTCAGTCGTCTAGGTTCCAATCGAAATGTCACGAGCCCAAGAGAAGTGCTACAAGCAATCGTTCTTCTGCTGCTATAGTCAATTAAAACCAAATTTCGCCGCGCTGTCTTCGCGGATCCGTTCGTCGTACGTTCCACATTGATTTCTGCGATTGATTCAGGCGCCGCTGCTTGCCTGTCAGCACTGACAAACGTAAACGCCGCTGTTATCGGTCATTGAGTGGAGGTTTTCCGCCATTGCGGTATCCGTGGTGAAAGGTTATGTCTGAAATTATGTATTTTCGTCACACTCACGACACTGTTAATCTCGGTGTGCGTCTAGCTCAAACTATCATTCGAGTTTAATGTCTGTTAATTCCCGTCGTGCAGCCATTATCACGTTAGAAACCTTTTCACCCGAATCACTTAAGTACAAATGAAAGCTCGGCCGATACACTGTTATTTTATATATTTTGTACGCGATACTTCTGCCGTCTGTATATTTACATCTTGCTCTCGCGTGACTTTTGTCACCTCGTAGGTTTTTGCCGCTTTGGTCATTTATAACTTGCAACTCCTTTTATCTGCCAGAGCTTTTTGCACTTTCTTTACTACAGAAGTTAGCGGCCATGTTAAACAACCGTGGTATATCGCCTTAAATCAGGTTTCACTTTCTGCTTCCTCATTGTAAATGCAAGTAATATAACCTACCAAATATTTAAAAATTAATATTCAATTAGTAGTAATTTGTGATTGGGAATACTTTGGTCAGCTAAGGTAACTTGAACCGCCTGGTCAAAGTATCCCCAATTTACATAGCGAATACACACTGAGAGCAACTTCCCTTATAATGTGGTAAATATTTGATAGTATTCAAGAACCAATATATATTTTGAAGGACAAAAATCAGACTCACATACTTACATTATAATAGTGGAGGATGTTACTTCTGTACGCTAAGCTATGTACGAACCAATGTTCCAGCAAGTATACTTCGCGCGTGGAATTTGCACTCCTCTGACGTCACGGAGGAGGCGGTTTGCTAAGATTTGTTTCACGTGAGATATGACCCATAATATCAACCTCTCGGAAACCACCCGTCATACTTACAACATTTACTTAGGAACTTTTTAGTAGAATTTAAATTGAAGGAACTAGGGGCCAACCCCAACTTAATTCCCCTACGTAATTGAGATATTGCAGCTTTGGAATTTTCCGTCACTGGAGATTGGCATACATGCTCACAAAATAATCGGGGTAGCGGAATACGAGGTAATACTGCTCCCCCGGGGATAACCTTTTTCAATGTTGAAAATTGTAATCGAAGTTAAAAAAAACAACAACAAATTTTTCGCCGGATTTAAATCAATTTACCCGGGCTACTTCATACAAATGAACAACGTGTTCTTTAGCTTCTTATATACGTTTAATTTTTTAACCACATTACGCATATCAATATTGACTTCAATTATCCTTGCAATTTTCTATAGATGGTAAAGAAGTTTTGAGAATTTTTTCAGTCGATTATGTCCGATTTTGACTCTTACAATCAACCAAAAAGAAGAGAGAAAATAGAAAATTATTACTTCTTTTCTTCGTTTTTAAGAATATAGCATGTTCTGACGCATATCATAAAAAGGGCTAAATATAAATTGTAGCCATGTAAATTCTCTACAGTTTCCCAAAATTTCAACTTTTTATCTTCTATTATATCTGGTGAACCTGAGGACTGTCTTTTGTTGATTACATAAATATTCAAATAAAGTTCCATGTGTATTATGGACAGTTTATGTTTATTAATCACTAAAACATATTAATGATCACATTATATCACAGGACTACATTGTTTATGGTGACGTTTCGGAGGTATTTCCCCCACCATCAGACTTGTTACATCGTTATGAACTACATCAGAATATAATACATTGGAATCAGTCTGTACATTTAAAATTGCAATAAATCCACAATTGTACGAACGTAATAAAATGAAATTATGAATTTTACCATTGCCGCACCTACATGCGTCTCGACTTCCTTCAGCCTTTCGAGTCTCTTTTCTTACTCTTCAAATTTCTTTGCCATTTCTGCTTTCAATCTCCGTTTTGTTTCTCCGCGGACATCTTTCACTTCCTCTCCAATTTGTCCGAATACTTCCCCGTTTTGTTCGCTCTGCTTTTCTTACTCGACTGATAGTGATTCGGCTTTGGCTCCTATTTCGTTCTGCTTTCTTCCAGACTCTCTTTGACTTCCGCGACCCGTGCCGTGATCTGTTGTTGTAATTCTTCGCATCTATTTTCGACCTGTAGAATTATAAAACGTTGATGTTCTTTCATCTTCCCGTCGAAAATACTTGTTTGGTCGTCAATTTTGGCCGCGATTGTTCTTCTATCTGCTTTGACTGATCTTCCATATGCCGCTTCGTTTGCTCTTCCCGTGGTTCTTTAATTTCCCCCCAAATCTGTCTCCACTGTTGTTCTATCTGCTTAGGCAGTTCTTCTCGCACCTCTTTAATTTCTTTCCGAATCTGTCTCCCTTGATTCGCAACCTGTTGTCCTATGGTTTCCGCAAAATTACCTAACAATGCCCTCATTAACATCGCCATGTGATCCCGGCGCGCTATTGCACCTGGCGTGGTTGCTGCCGCCTCGGTCCAATGCGCGGCTGGGGTGCCTGCTTCCTCTCACTCCTGTGGTTCACAGCTCCATCACAGTGCAATAAACAATTACCGTAATTAGACTGTGGTTCCATGAGATTTTCTTATAGTACTCTCGGTTCTTACGAGAAAACACTTAAAGTGAAAGGGAAACCAAAGGTATTTCACGTTTTGCCAACTTGTCGAAACAAGATGTGGTGTTTCCAGACATGGGTTGCGAGTTAAGATAAGACCCGCTGTAGCAAAGAGGGTGAATCCCCCTTCTGGGAAATTGTTTACTTCAGTCTTTTGGCAGATTGCAAATACTACTTCTGCAGAATATAACATGACAATTGTTAGAACAATCATAACAAGTGTTAATATAACAATTGTATTTTTTTCAGAGTCTGTATCGTCAACTAGTACAATAGTTGGCGCGAAACATTGCGCATGCGCTGCAGAGGCACTGCGCGAACTATTGCTGTCCAGAAAACATAGTTACCATAATCATCGCGATTTAGAAAGACAAATTAAGTGAATTGAAGATGTTGCCCTAATGCGAGCTGGAAATGTAATCTTGCAAAAATTTGTTTTGGTTGCGCTAGTTTGTTGGCGTTGTTTCGTTAGATTTATTGAGTGCTTTATTTCATGATTTTCTTCCTTTTTCCCTTTTCGCCCAAGCTTCCTGTCGGGAAGCTATAATAGGAAGATCATTCCTGTGAGATGGTATTCAGTTTAAGCGACCTCCGGGCTGCGTGCCCTCTGATTTTGGGCTGGGAGAATGGGGTTAATTTTAGATTGAAGTCAGAGAAAGCCCTTATTGTCTTCGTTACTCTTCAACGTACTATAGACACTACACTGGAAAGAGTAAACTCCTCTCGCTTGACTAATGGCGGTCATTTTTAGGATTTACTCGATGGTCGTTTTTTTGTTGTTGTCATTTTAAGGAAGTTATATTTTATTTCTTATTAATTATTTTCAATCATAATTAATTTACTACTTTTTTATGTTTTATTGGTATTTGCAATAATTTTATTTATATTGTCTTATTCGATTAATACTCAGATTCTATAATAATAGTAATATTACATAATTGTTATAAATAATGAAGAACTTAGCGGTAATGTTTCAAAAGATATATCTTTGATTTCTCCCTGAGCCGTTTTTCATTAAATAATAATTATCGTTACATTGCTGTTAATAAATCGATATATCAGTCATAATTTCCCCCACATTTCAGTATTACTGTTTTGTTTCCAACACTGCAATTTTTCTAACTCACCCCTCAAGGCCTTACTTCACGATTGTGTTATGTGGTCGCGACCAGGGCCCTGCAACTCACCATCAAAACCGGGGACAAAGCTTGAGAGTGCTACTATAAGAGGCGCTAGTGTCGCCGGGGCAGCTGCAGGTTAGGCTCGCCAACTTTCCCAAATACATCCCAAAAACACTGCGCAGCGCCAAAGGATTCCGGCGTGTGAGCCGAGTACCTGCCTGCCTTAACTCTTGAATATGAAAAACAGAAAAGTTGATGATGAAAAAGTCTTGAAAGGAGGCAAAGACCGCGGTTGCCATATAACCGAAACAAGAACAAGTGCTCTCAGACAAGGGCTGCGAGTTAAGCTAAATATTCTGTATCTGCCTTGTTTTAGGGACAGATTTGGATACCTTGAAGCACGAGTCTCTCAGGCTTCTTACGGACTTCGTGCCTTGAGGTAATAATGATCCCTAAAAATATAATTAATCCCAAGCCCGATTTTAAGTACACTACCTACGTAGGTACTATTATATCCGTACTAGGGGCCTGTGTTAAAAAAGGATGAAAAGTTTTAAATACAGTTAACTTATTATTTAATTTACTTATTATTTTTACTGCGTTACTTATTATTTTCAATAACGAATCGCGTACTTAAAATAAGCGTTTAATTAAGAGAATAATAAACAAATTTGAATTTGCTATTCAGGCACTTCTTGCAATGTCAGGTCTGCAACGTGTCATTCTGATGCATTGGACCAGTGAGTATTGGACACACATGCATGTCTTGGATTTCACGATAGATGTATGCCGGTGTGTGAACTCCATACCCAACTTTCATTCCGAAGGGTGGCATAAAAATACTCTCTGGTTGGCATTACATATGAACAAATGCCTGACGACGATATGGATACGCAGGCACGAGATCGGATCTGAAAGTTAGTATGAGCGACGAGAAAAGGAGACACAAGAAAGCGCAAGTATTAAAAAAGCTGGTATGAAATGCTTACGATATCGAAAGTGATGGAAAAGAAGACATTAAATACGATCCCACAACCACAATAGACTTGAAACTACAAAATAAATGTGAACTGTCACTAGACTTCAGTACTTTCCTTGAGGAAGCACACCTGTCAAACACCAAACAAACAAACGTCAACAAAAATGCAATTTGCGAATGAATGAAGTAGGTGTGGGTCGTACACGAGCGTGTTGGTTGTCAATTGTCGTTTATAATAGCGTATCATATTTAATTTTTCTTGTCTGTTCTGTACAGTTAAAGTTGATAAATATGATCAACAACTTGGTACAGTGCCGTGTTTGTATACTCAGTTGTCAACATTCTCAAGATTTTGAAGTTAATATTTAAGCAGAAAGAAATGCTGTTCAATGCATAAATTTTTCAATATTTTAACGAGAATGGTACTTTTTTGTGCTTATGTGTGTTGAAGTGTGCTGTGCTTTTTACAATTATGTATAGTGTATGGTTATGATTGTTACTGTAACAGACAGTTTCTAATTGTTTTAAGGTAGCCATTCAGTTCATATTATCAAGAGATAGTATGATCAAATCTTATCCAAAAATGGCTAATCCTTTTGATGAAGCTATTGAATCTGAAAGAAATAATAAGTATAGAAAATCTCCGTCCATTTCAATTAATGATATTACTTTTGGTGATATTGCTGCAAAGTTACTTAATGAGAACTTTTTATTAACTGCCCTTGAGTTACATACAGAACTTGTTGAAGCTGGGCGTGAAGTACCAAAATTGAAGGAATTTTTCTCCAATCCTGGTAACTTTGAACAACATGCTGTGACCAGACCAGAAATACAATCTTCTATACGTATGTATTTTAAATATGTGCAATGAAATCTCATTAATTTGTGTCCGTAATGATTTAAAAGTTTGATTTGGTTTTTACAGATAGATCTTCCAGTCAAGCTACTCTTGATTCTTTAGATCTGACTAGATATTCTGAAGATGGAGAAAGAGGTGTTGATGAAAGGGTAGCAGTTTTAGAATTTGAACTTCGTAAAGCCAAAGAAACTATTAGTGCACTTCGAGCTAATTTAACTGTTGCTACAGGTAAGAATTTGAATTTTGATGGAAAAAATAATTTGATTGGAATGGAAATTGAATTTTGATGGAAAGTATAATTTGTGTGGTATTTAATAAACCCATTTGTATGTATAATTAACTTTTGTAGAATCAGAAGCTGCATCTCCAGATGGCCCAGTTTCTTTAAAATTTCCTCAAAATGAGTCCATTAAACCTCACGAACAACGCGCTTTGAATTTCTTGCTTAATGAATATCTTTTGCAACATGGTTATAAGTTGACTTCAATAACATTTGCTGATGAAAATGAGAATCAGGTTAGTATGAAAATTAAGATCCTTGTAAGAGATCAATAACGCATCTTGAAAGCATGGCTTCTGTTTGTTATTCCATTATAAATTGTTGCTTAGCCTCGTGCTGAATTCAGAGAAGTGATGTAAGCATGATTATTGCATATTTATTGCTTTGCTAAACTCTTCTAATATGTCTGTTATTTCTGAATTCTTTAATTTTGCATCAGATTTGAATAGTTGTAATTTTTAATATTATTTTTATTATAAGTTTGAGAGTTACTTGTCAATTGATCTATGATCAGGTAGAAGAAAAAATATGCTAACATTAATGAATAGAGTGAAAAGAATCATTAGTGTCTTAGCCAGTACAGAATATAACAATTACCACTTTTAATTAATTAAAGGTAATGTAACTGAATTTATGACAAAAATTAATGTAACTTTTCATGTATTCAAACAGCTACTAAAATAATCAAAATTGGATATGATTAGCACCATCTTCAATATAATAACTTTTATTAAGAAGTGATTACATATGTGTGAATAACAACACACTAGTTGTTATTTTGAGACCTATGTTAGGTAAATTTCAAACTTTTTAAATCTTTTGTTTTTCTTTGTTCATTTTTTCTCCCTTGGAGTTAATTTATTGTGAACATTGAGACTACAAATAACCCATTAGTTGACAGAACAGATGGTTGAAAAATTCATTTTTATAAATCACAGTTTTTATTTATCTGGTACCATATTGACAACTGTTGATTTTGATACATCTTTTAACTTTTGATGCAAGTCAAATTTAAGAATATTTTGAGTTCTCACTTGATTTAGTAATGATCATGTAAACCCGAAAAAAATTGTTTTCGTTCTTCAGGCAACTTCCAATCCCTTAGGCTGGATCCCCTTGGGTTTGGAAGTTGCCTTCAGGTCAAAAACATTCACATAATGACCTAGGTCAGTAGGTCTCTTAACAGTATTAACTAGTCTCTAACAGGTCTCTAACAGAAAAAAAAAGTTTCATTAAAAAGGAGTCTGCTACTGTATTAAGTCTAATGACCAAACATCCACAATTAAAATATCTACAGATAAAATGTCTATCAACAACAATGTCTTTTAACTACAAATTCTATCAGCTAAATCTCTACTAGCTAAAAGTCTGATTTTCATGAAACTGCCTCATTCACGTACTGCATATATTTTATAAATATATTTTTTGAGCTAAACATGCCTGTATATTATTGAATTAAACATGTGTATACACTTACTGATAAGTCTAACAAACTTTCATATATAGATCCTTTTTATATGTAGACATATTTGCAATATTCATTTTTGCATGTAGACACATTTACCTGTAGACATTAGGTAGTAGACATTTCTCCACGTAGACATTTTTTCATCTACCCTAGCATGATGGGTAGACATTTATTATGCAGACCTTGTAGAGTAGATTAAGTGCCGTTAGAACTCAAATATTAGACATTATTTACATAGATCTTATTTCTGTAGACCTAGTGAACGATAACCCTAGGTACATATGTAACTAGTAACTGACATAAACTGTAATGCAGTCCGCTGTGCCACAGAAAACTTTTTTCAAAAAGCATTGTTTCAGAGATCTTGCATTAAATAGATCAGTATTAGCTTGCTAATCTTTGTATTAATTTATGTCGGAGAATTTTCTGAAATTTTATTTACAGAAATTGACATTAAAATTATTAAGATATTTGGAGTTGTATGAGTTGAACATTAATATTTACTAGTTTTAAGAGATTAAAAAGATATATTTTGTTACTGATTAATTTTTATAAAAACATTAATTGCCCTTCAGTCTGAAATTGTTATATGTCATAATGTGAAAGTTGACCTCGAAAATAATTTAGTATATGCTTGTAATGATTTGTTTTGTATTTTTTCTAGCATACTTATGTTTTTTTATAATACAGAGACTTAATACTGGAGCAATGTTCTAATTTACTTGTATAAGAAGTAAATAATAGTGGAGTATAAGGTTGGGAAAACATTCTCTCTTCAGAAGTAAATCACAATGGATTCTAGCAGAAATACTGTTAATGTGTGCCTCAAAATGTAGATTTTTTTATCAAACAAGATTTTAGATCTGCAACAGTTATCTTTGGTCTTATTTTGGCCATTAATTGAGAGAATATATTTTGGCTATCAATTGAGAAATTTCAAATCATTGGCAAATAGTAGAATAATGGACTGAAAGACATTATGTATATAAAACAGGAAAGGACCAAGTTGGGCCATCGGATAGCCAGGACATTTCCATATAATTATCATTTTTTATTTTGATAATTTTTCTATGCCAAAAGAGATTGTATGAGAAAGTTATCAGCAAGACCAGGACTCTACTCTTTGCAAATTAAAACATATAAATCACATAATTAAAAACACTTCACAAATACATAAGTATCATCAGCTGCCATTTTCAAAGGCATCAAGTACATAATGTTAAAATATCAAAGAAGTGGTTCAGAAGGAAAAGAAATCTTTGTTGAACAGGAATAAAGTTACCATCCTGAGGAAAGAATTGACCAATGTCAAGCTTATAAATAGTTCTGGAATCCAAGATTGTGTGTCCGTAGGATGATTTTTATCTACATGTCTGTCACCAGTTTGCACTCAGGTGTAATTGTTTTGCCAACAGCTAAGATATTGGTAACTATTTATTGACAAGTTAAATAATAAAATCAAAGAATAAAACACATATGGGTAATTTTTTAGAGTATTATTAGAACACTATCAAAACCACAGTTCTTGTTTTTACTTAGTAAATCAACTTCCTTTTTGATAGTTCCAAAAGAAATCTCTAATATCCGTATGTTATTGGAATGTAGTGTGTTACATATGGTACATGAGAGTTATTATAAACTTCTGTGAAACATCTATGCCCAAGTAAGTTAGCAGAAGACTTATCGTATGAATTCATAAAGTCATTGCAATGTCTAACATTCATTATTGATGGAAATTTTTAATTACTGTTCAATCATTTTCAAAAACGTTTGACATCTCAGACTGAAGGATCATGGGTTAGAGTTATGGATCATGGGTGTGTTTGTGTGTCTTTGTGGTACGTGTCCTGATGTGTTGTGTTCCCCTTATGGTTACCCCAAAGGAAAAAATCAATCAAAGTGGTCACCACCCAGTAGTCATAAAGCAACCTTAAAATACAAAAATAAATAAACAAATAAATACACACACACACACATAGTGGTGTAACCAACTTTTCTTTTAAATGTTCGCTTTTTGCTATTGCAGTTAGAATATGAAACATATTAAAAAGTAGTAAAGGTGAAAGGGAATGAAGAAATTTTGTATGTCTAGGAATATGAGTTGTGGAGGTATTAAAATGTATTTATGGTTATATAAAAATTGAATATTCAATGTTGCAACTTCAATCAGTAACACACAATACTCCATGCTTTCATATATTTACAACTTTGGCATTCATTTATGTAGTATGAGAATATCGGTTGGAGTTCTATAATGACTGTTTGCAAGAATGGTGTTCTTGAAATCTTTTAATACCTGAGACAATCCTTTTAGCTATTTTGAATCTGTGTGCAACGCATTGTTTTGTTTCTTTGTTGATGAAATGAGAATGATTCAGAAATTTTGTGTAAAAAAAATTAATTTGTAAGTTTTTCTGCAGTTTCCACTTCAAATGTTTACTCTAACCATTCTATAGGATTTTGAAGATTGGGATGATGTTGGGCTTAATATTCCAAAGCCAGCGGAATTGCTGACACTGTACCGTGACTTCATGCGGAATTCTGGGCATGATAAAGTACCTCACCAAAGTGTTTGCTGTCAGACTGAATTGCAAGACCTTGAAAAGGAAACACAAATTCATGAAATGGTATTTCTGTTTGTATTTCCTGTATTTCTGTGTATAATTATATGAGTATTTTTTTAGAAAAATGTATTTTATGATCTTCTACCTAGGTTGTGGAAATTGAAAATTTGAAGGAACAATTAATTGGTTTAGAACAGGAGAAACAAGATTTGAAACAAATGTGGTCTGCTGAGAATAGATTAAGAATAGGAGATGTATCTAATATTACAACACCGGCTTCTGAACTGATTGGAATGACAGGAGAAAATATTTCCACCCACAGTGCCACTCCAGAATGTTTTGAAATGATAGATGCAGACTCTAAAAATGCTGACAATACAAATGAAGATATAGAAAGAAGGATAATTTTAAAAGGCGATGATGATGAATCCGCTATTAGTCTAGCAGACACTGATGTTGAGTGGACACGTGTGACTCTACCACCTGGTGATGCTGTTGCTGATGTGATGGTTGCTCCTGAATTTTCTTCTGAGGCCCTTTCTGAACCAGCTCCATCAATTACATTAAGCAGTCCAATTTCTCGGTTAGAATTCTTGTGTGTACAGTGATATTATTAATTGTATGTATTAAGTGTTTTTTCTAATTATTTTGAAGCAAGGAATTAAAAAGAAAATAGTACTATTGATTCGCCAAGGCCATCAGTGAGCAGTAGGATAAATATTTCTTGATTTTTAGTTGTGACATTAATTAGAAAATATTGAAAGAAATTTCTTTATTGAAGAAAATTTAATCTTACAATTAATAGATCCCGCAATCCTTAAGAATAGTTTTGATAAAGAAATATTATAGTCTTAAGGGGTTAATTAACAATAACTTTTTAATGAATGTTGATATTTATTATGTTAAATTCTAGTTAAAAATAATCAAATTGTGATTAACAATCCAACAGATGTGATATTTTTAAATTGGAATATAACATAATAAATATTAATATTCACCAACAACTTGATCAATTAACTTCTGAAAATCTTAAGATTTACTAATATTTCTTTAGAATCTTAATCTTTCTTCTGCATTTAGAATCAAAATTAAGCAATTTGAGTTAGGAAATAGAATTCCATAATTGTAATGTGCGTGAAAGAACTCAATTCGTTTTTGTGCAAACATCATATTTAAAGTTTGTTAAAGTGAATTCTGTTGTAAATTTTTATGTCAACTACATCCAAAATAAGTAACTGTATTTTTCCACTGCTAGGTTTCTTTGTTCTATTGTTACTTTCCATTTTCATGTTTTTGTTATCACTTCCTGCATGCTTATGTTGTCACCTTTACTTTGTAAGAAGAGAAAGCATTGTTATCATGGGCCAGAAAACTCCGAATTTGTAACAGAGAAACTGATATTGCCAGGCCCTGGTAATGAAAAATTGGATAAATCTTGATTTTGCATTGCTTTTACTTCATTATTATTATTTATAAATTATGATTACTATATTTTTATTTACTCCTTTCATTCTTTACTCTCACTACTGCCAATTTTCATTAGACTAATGTTCTTAATTTGTAGTCTCATTTGCAAATTCTTTTTCAATGACACTTCATATGATTTGATGTGAAGTAAACTTTGCCACTTAAAATGAGCAGTTTCATATACATCTTTTCTCATTTCTGTTTTGTGCTGCTCTTTGTTTCTTTTCTCTTTTTTTTCCTTGTTTTCCTCCCCTTTCTTCCTTGTTTCTTTTTCAACTTAGAATCCCTCTTTACTTCTCGTGACTGCTTCTTATGTTCACTATTTCCCTCTTCTTATTTATTCTTATTTTTACACTTTGTGAGCTTGTACCTAGTTTATTCCATGTGGGTCTGGCATATAAAATTCGTGGGGAACATTAAAAGAAAGTGAACCTCCCCAGAATTTTAGTTAAAACTACAGCAATATTTTTATTGATTTTCTGAAGTGAACGTGGTAAAATGGTAGATTAATAAATGTCAATACCACACAATAATGTCAAAGTTCTTCATGAATTTAATAATACACTCTAATAGTAAACTGAGAAAAGAGGGCAGGCGTAGTAGAAGAAAGCATTGTGATTATTGATCCTCTTCATTACATATGTAACTGGAGGTCACAGAGAATTTCTATTTCTCTCTAGTGTGGAAGCATCTTCGTAATTTTCCTTTTTCCACATATTTTTGAATAATGAGTGTCAGCCAAGAGGCCTGTGTACGCCATGATATCGTTTCACAATCTTTATGTTTTTAAACAAATAATTATCATTGTTATAAAATGTTACACTGCATCTTCAGTAAAAAATGAACTTAGAATTAAACTGCAGAATGTACTTGAATATATTGGAGAGAACGTGTCCGTCTCCACATCTTTGCAGAGATGTATGGTGTATTATCTGCCTATCTGTCAACCGCCAGTCCTGTATGAAAGAGATTTAAGTTGTAAAACACATATGTTAGCAAATGAATGATGTAGTTTTAAAATCCGGCTCTCGTGCAACCCACTGGAACATGTTTTACCATCGTTCATAAATCAGAAAGTGTGTCATAGCCCCTTAACATCATGGTTTTGTGTTCCTGTAGGGAACACAAGTTAAGTATTTTAAGCTGTGGTCTACAATGTTCTCTTTATTTTGAAAGGTTTATTTGTTGAATGGTTATTTTGATTTATAATTTAATGATTTGATTTATTATGTGTTTACTATTATGTAAAATATCTAAAGCAAACATTCATTCAACATAGTGTTTTTTTATGATAAAAGATATTCAGTAATGTGATTTAATTTATTTATAATCAAAACTCAGTTAAAACTTTGTGATGTATGGGGGAGAAGTATATTTTTGGCAGATATGAAATAAGATGAAAAAAACACATATTTTTACCCTTATCTGTATGTTCATTACTCAAAATCCTCTCTATCATATTAAATGCATTGAACAACTCTCTTCTTCTCTGATCTTGCATTTATGTCTTTGTCCATGAAATTTGTGGAAAACATCTCTGTAACTCCCGTGAAATTTTTCTCTGCAGGCTATTGAGATTCGAGGTCACTTCATGTTACTTATCACTTTACTACATATTTATGTAGTAAAGAGAAAATATTGTAATGCTGTGGTGGAAATCAGCAATCTTTAGACTGCACAACTCAAATTTCAGGTCTTAGTAATGAAAAAAGAGGATACATCAAGTTCCTATATGTAGTAAATTACTTCCTTGGGCATGTGTAGTCAAAGTCCAAGTTTTGTGGGTCCTTGATACTGAAAAATCGATTATTGGCAAAACTGACTGTCCACACAAAGGACACTTAGAAAAAGTGTATGTGAGATCTATTTTTCAAAGATAGTTCTCGATCTTACAATTTTGTATAAATATAAGTATTAATAAATGTAGGTAGACAAACTTGAAATCTTTTTATAGCAAGTAAATAATTTGTATTATAAAATAAAAATTAATACAAATATTTTATAATTGTTTATATTTCTCTATAATTTTTTGAAAAAAGTTTATTTAAAATAATTTCTAAGTTAATGCAATTTTTTTTGGGGGGGGGTATATAATAAATCTTTATCGTGAGGACATAATCAGAATGTACGTTTCATGGGGCCTTGATATTAAAAAAATAGGTTTTCAGCAAAATCTGTGACTGTGAACAGCACTAGGACCTAAATTGGGCACAGGATGATTTTCAGAACTGATGTTCTCTGATCTGGCTGACGTTGCGTCCCTTTGAGTTTGAAACGTATTTTATTTTTGGGGGTACTTTCCTTGAAGACCCAACAATCTTTTGAAAGTGCCTTCGAATATTTTCTTTAATTCTTTTGCTCAAATAGAGCTGTTTTCTTAATAATGTATGGCATATCTTAAATTTTTATCTAAAAATGGAATTTTGTAAATTTTCTAAACGTAAATACTACCCCACCCCACACCACACCCTCGAATCTGGTCGTTGCCCATGACTATTGAAGCTATAGATTTTCTTGTAAGGCAGGCTATTTACAAGATGATAAAATTATTGCCATCAAAATTCTTAATCCAATCTATTTGTCATTATTAGATCTTAAAATCATTTCATGAACCCTTTTTTCGTAAATATTGGTGGTTTTGTGTAATTTTGAGTTATATCATTTGAGTTTTTCAAAAGACTGAAATGAGATAGAAAATACAACTCTTAAATTACAGTAACTGTTTCCACAATCTGAAAGTTCATATTTGTAATTATGTATGACCAGTTTGGAAGATTTTCAGAAACTCAATTTTTAAAGTTATACATTATATATAGAACTTAATTCTGAACAGTAATTTCTTAGATAGTTGCTTGAAATATCCTTTTATTTTCTGACATTGTGTCTACTTACATTAATGTGAAACGACAATGGAAAAATATATTGTTGCATTAAATCACATTATATGCTAGGAAAACATGATCAAAATTCAGAACTGCCCTATTCCTCCATCATCTCATCAATACCTTTGCTTATACTAACATAGTCTACAATCTAAAATGACTCTGTGACAACATTCATTGCCCATTCAACAACTGTTCCCGGCAGGGCCCCACCAGTGATGTACCCAGCAAGGGAAACCGCTCTTTGTGTAGATCAGCACTAGATCTCATGTTCCAGTGGGGAAGAAACAACTACTTCTCCCAGCTATGACATCTCTGAGGGACTAATGACCTAAGGAGTTAATGTGCCAGAAACCCTTAAATAATCACTCACCAACTAAGTGAAGAAAAATAGTTGAGTTCCTTGGTTTGAAAACTGCTTTAGAATATTTTTGGATGAGGGATGCCCAGAGGAAGTTGGTCATTTTGGGGAGACAAGGCATTCAGTTCTTGAAACTCAGAAATGGTAATGACTGTTTGTTTCTTACAAACTAAAGTATTACCATCACGGGTACATTAACCTTTTTTGACAAAAATTGGCCATAATTATTTATGCAAAGATGTCTTGAAGAATACTCAGGAACGCTATGCTTACTAGAAATATGTCTTGCCTGCTCTCAACAATAGTCTTGGTGTCATTCCCTCTTCAGTTGTGAACTTTAGAAAAAAGTTGCGATATTTTGTTTAATCAAAACCCATTCTTTTTGATTAATCAAACCTATGCATTTTGTTTTTCAAAGGATTTGATGCTTCAAAACTATGCCAATGAACTTTTCACTTACTATTCCTAGTTTAGGTGGCAACTCTCCATGAACCATTTTAAAATACCATATTCTTTTTTAACTCTGACTTGATACAAAATTACTGCTCAGTTAACAGTGCATTGTACAATGAGATAAAAACAATATTACAAAGTACTGCCTGTTGCAATAGTCAGAAGATATGTATAAATTAAATGGACTCTGGTAATTTTTCCAGTGGAACAATGTGACTTGGATCATTTCTTCCAAAGAGTATAAAATATTCAAATCTAAATTAAATGGACACTGGTCTCTTTTTCCATATTCATTGTAGACTGGTTGATAGATAACCCTTTCTCCCACAAGATAGCCTTAAAATCTAAAAGCTGCCCTGGGATGGAATTAGATCGTTGTTCCTATATACCCTTTGTGGGAACTTACTGTCAAATTTTAAAACTCTTCAGATCTCTAAAAGATGTTTTTCTACCATATGCAGTGCTGATATTCTCAAAAATCTCCACTTTATTATTATTAATCGTTGGATATAAAAGATTGATTTTGAATTAATATAATATACACTATTAAAATACGTTTTGCTCTGATTGATGCCCATTTACATTGTCACAAAAAATGATGGTAGGAAGGGGTTTGTACGAGTCTTTTTGTGCAATTGCGATGTGATTATTGTGATGTTAAAAAAAAAAAATCCTGAATCAACTGTCAAACTTCTTGAAAGTTTATTCATGACGTTTTAAAATATGTCTTCTTCTTTTTGATCTGAAGTTATATAATTTGTGTTGTTTATAAACATTTACAACAATATGCTAATGATGAAAATAAGTTACACTTAACAAAAGTAGTAGTAGTAGTAGTAGTAGTAGTAGTAGTAGTAGTAGTAGTAATAATAATAATAATAATAATAATAATAATAATAATATTAATAGCTGATGATATATAACAATACACCTCTGATATTGAAGGATTGTCAAAGAATCATTGACTTCTATGCATTAAATCAAACTATAGTTAAATCCCTTTGTGTATGATGTTAAAGGATTTGAAACAGTATCAAATGTTTTCATTAATTGTCTAATTTTCTCTGCAGTTCAGTATTTACTACTGCAATGTTTGTTATTGGTGCTTACATGTGAAAATATTTAAATTTTTCATTTATTTTGGGAGGTGAATCCAGGGAAATAAAATGTCTTTATGTATTTGTTTCAGCACCATTCCAGCTGCTTTTCAAAGGGAAGTACTTTCACGATGCTTCATTAATACATCTCGTCAAAATGATTGTCAAATTTTAGATGAGATTTTTGAAGAAGGAATATCTGAAGCAAGATTAGTTCACATTCTTGGGCAGAGTCTGCCTCGAATTATCCCCAATGTGATTCTGAATAAACGAGAGGTAAACATTTTTCCCCTGATTATTGTTTGAAATTTGTTAATGAAAGAAATATCAATTGAAGTTATGTTTCTGGTTTAGGAAGTGATACCTCTTATTATATGTACCATCCATCTTCATCCAGCTGCCTCAGATAGAGATAAACTTCTGCATCTTCTTTTCAACTTGAAGAAACGTCCTCAGGAGGAAGAAAGACGCATGATATTGGCTGGTGTGTTAAATTCTATTGGTGATATTGTATTTTTTAATTATAATTTAAAAATTTTATTGATAAAATGTGTTTTTGTTTGTTTTTTTACTATTGAAATATTGTAGGAATTGTTGGAATTGCTCGATGTTCAGGATTGAGCTTAGTGGAAAATGAAATACTCCCCCAATGTTGGGAACAATTAAGTCATCGTCATGTTGAAAGACGCCTCCTTGTCGCAGAATCTTGCAGTGCACTTGCTCCTTATGTTTCAGTAAGTCAGGGATAAGGATATGAAACATTTAAATTTCCCTATGTGGAAACTGACAGGTCCTGTTTTGAATTTCAGAGCTCAATTCGCAACTCTCTTATGTTGTCTATGTTACAACAAATGTTATTGGAAGATCGAGATGAATGTGTTCGAGAAATGGTGGTTAGAAGTTTGGCATTAATAGTAACTTTCATGGATGACAAGGATAAATACTTCCAGGTACAAAAGAAATGAATTGAAGTAGTTTCTAATTGATTTAAGAATAGTTATTAAAAGTTTGGTTGTTTTCTTTTGCAATATTCTTCCAGCGGCATCATTCAACAAGGTAGACATTTGTTACTTGTGGATAGCTGCAAATAATATACATTTTTAGAAGAATGTTATTAAAAAAATAGTTTTCTGTGTAGATTTTACCCTCATCATGATCTGTTATAAGTCCAGATTTACTAAAATATGAATATCACAAAGAAAATTGTTTACCCTGCATTGTCTTGTGTTTATGCATATCAAAAAATAGAAGTTTCACTTCTATAAACTTAAATTACTCGCACATAAGAATATGAGCGGCTCTTCTATTACTTTGGTTAGTAATTTTATAGAAGATAGAAATTATATATGATGTTTCTATAATCCTAGGGAAATCTTAAATTGCTTTTCTGTTAGTTTTCTTCTGCTTTAAAATCATTGTAAAAATTGTTTGTGAGAATTCATTCACAATTCGTACGGTTATCATAATTAACTTTTGGAATTCTCTACAGATCTATTGTAATGTATTGACTTCTGTAATCTTATATGGATAAATTTTTTGGTTTCTCTCAGAATAACTTTCTCTGTTATAAAACTGAATTAGGCAATTGTTGATTCTTATCCAAATAAATATAAATATAGGAGATCAATGACGTGTTTGAAGGAACAGTGACACATTTGTAATTCCCAATGCAAGAGAACCTATGGAGTCAACAAACAAGTCAACACTGGAATGACGAAACAAAATCATTAGTTCCTGATCTTGCAAGCAAATGTTGAGATGGCCCCTTGTTTTGTTTTTGGACATACATGAATCTTCTCTATCTGCAGTCATCTTCTAGAGTTCTGTGGGTAATAAAGTTATTCAAATTATCTTTTACCACGTTCTTGCCAAAAATACTAATTTCAATCTGTATTCAGAATGTAACTTGTATATGGATTAGGGTAGGGATCCAAGGATTAAAGAAAACATGCACAGAATGCACTTCTCTCAATAATACATCACACACAGTTTACAACTGTTGTTGACATTAAATAAATAATTAGTAGTATTTGTAATTTATAGATGTATGGTTTAAAGAAGAGTTGTATAATTGTTTGTATATATAAACTTGAAAAATGATCGTTTGGAACTTTTGCTATGATTCAGTTCATTTATGTGTGTTGATGAAGAGAGATTATTATTATGTTTTTTGTTTAAGAAAAGTGTAAAAGAGTGATTGTCAAATTGATTGGAGGATTTTTGACAAAATGTAATATTTTCTAAAAAAATTTTTTTGTTAGTTGTAAAACCTTTTTATATATGAAATTTCTAGCTTCATTCCCTTCCCAGGTGTGCTGAGAAAATGCTGAATAAATATGATTGCAGTTGGTCAAAGAATTTAAAACCTGTGATCTATGCCACAAGTTTCAGTTCTTAAACCTACGAAATTTGTGAAATCGCAGAAATAATATAATTATTGTGTGTATTCATTTTTTTATGAATATTTTTCAATAAAACTTCATTTCTAAAAATGAAATCAAAACATTACGTAGCATTTCAAATTCTGGTTTGCCTTATGATTGTTTTCAGAATAAACATGCATCTAATACTATTTGTCAAGATGTCCATTATGATTACTTAGGTTCTTAAGAATCTTGTTACAATATTTATAATTGTGGTAATGCAATTTGAATTTCAGTGCGAAGAGTTGGCTATGACGGCTTTAGACGATCCATCCTCTGCTGTTGTTGGCTCTGCCATTAGAACACTTCTGCCGGTCCTTGCGAAATGGGCTTTGGATTTAGGTCGCTTGGAATCTCATTTACTACGTCGTCTTTTACAGAAATTGAGAGGTCAAACAAAGGTAATTAATTTTTATTAGAGAAAAAATTGGAAATTATTTCACAGCAAAATATCTGTTTAAATTGTTTGAATACTTAAACTATGTTATTAATACAAAATTCTTCCTTAATTCTGTTACTAATCACTAATGAGAATGAATCACAATTTTGTATGAGAAGAAAACTCAATAACTTTTTTCTCTTTTTTTATTAATGAAGTCCTTGTGGATAATTTTTGATATTGTAGATCATTTTTATTGAATTTTTTTCTTCTAAAAAAAGTGTCAAGTAATTATATTTTACAATACAAAGAGTGAATGTTTTTTATTTGTTGCATTAAACAAAAATATTAGTTATCAGTCCCATTCTTATTCCATGCATGTGATTTCTGATAAAACATATATCATAGAGAAGGAATAAATATATTTATCTCAGAGCATTTATGAAGAAAAATATAGAAATTAAATTTCCTGGACTTGCAATTTTATTTAAAATTTGAACTTAAAACCATTGTTTTCCCAATTCCAGTCATGTAGATTTACCTCATTTTGTTTCTTTGAATCATTTTGTAGAGTTTTTTGTAATTGAAACAATTTTTATTTATTTCAAGTTCGTTAATTATAAGTAAGAAATCGAAATGAATTGTGCAAAATACTTGTAGGCAACACCGCCAAGCTCTCCAAATAGTATGGCACAAAGGAAAGTGGAAGAAAATGATCAAAGAACTGTGTATACGGTAACAGTTTTGCAAGTTCTTTTGCCATATTTATTGGTTTCTGTTGCTGCTGTAGAGCCTGTGATTCAACACACCAGTTCTGATGAATCTTCAGATCCAAGTGAGTGTAATTTTTACAGCAGTACATAATAAAACTCCCAAGGTATTTAATATTCTGTTTTGTTTCAGGACAACTTTTTTCAAAACAGAATCTCGGTTTAACAAACCCTTATGTGTTCTATGAAGGTGATTTTGATATTGGTAATGTCTTAAAGTCTTTTGATTCATGTATTGAAGAAGCAAGTACTGATTGGTCTCAGTTAGAGTGGATTAGTACTCAGATGTAAGTGTCATCTGTTTGGTAATAATTTAATTCATATTTTCGTTTTTGAATAATTAGAAAATAAAATTTTAGAAGTTGTGAAATATTCAACTTATTTTCATAAACCAAAAGTATTCTTCCATTCTTAAAATCTGGTATAATGAATCCCTAAGGTGTGAAAATATTAACTTTTGCCAACCCAATGTGCCAGTCACGGTTATGGCACAGCACATTGGGATGGCAGAAGAGGTGGGTGACTGGTGGCAAAGATATGCGATTGCCAAATTATCATAATAAGAGAAGGTACTTCGAGACGTGTTGCAAGTCAAAGGAGAGATACTGCATATTCATATAATAATTGAAGCAACTCACAAAAACTGAAAGGAATTGTAAAATTTAACAAAGGTATTTAATGATTTCATTTATTTTGATCATGCATAACTCTAGTTTTGTGTAATACACCAGTTATCAAGAAATGGTAATAACATTGGTAATATTTATGTTCCCTTTCTTCCCTCTTTTTTATTTTCTTCCGAATGGAATAATAATGTACAATGTATTACCAGAAAATTAGTTATAGCCTAGTTAGTTAAAAGCTAGCTAGCTAAAATTAGTTATTAGTTCCTTTTTGATTCTGTATGATGTGTTCTGAGTAGCAAGGGCAAACTCAACAAATACAAAATTCAAGAAAAATGTATTGTAAAATTTTCTGCAAAGGGTGAACATATCCAATCAATTCATTTTTACAAGGTATTTTGTATAAGAAAGAAGAGTTAACTTTGAACTTGATAAATCTTTGGGCATGAGCACCACTGGTGTATTTCTCAAATTAAAAATTAATGTTTCTTTGTTTGTGCTTAATGTGCTGCTGTACCGTTCATCTGATTGTGATAAAACTTTGTCAACTTATTGCTTACACTTGTGGGAAGGATATAGGCATAGTACAATTGTAACTCCTCTAGATGGCCCTGCAGTACAAGATGACACTTTATTTAAATGCAATTCTCAGTACAACTGAACTTTATTGTTGCTGAGAGTCTCCATGTGATATGGGTCAAAGCAGAGGTCAAATATTTCCACAATTATGTTTTCTGTGGCAGCAACACACCAGGTACCTGCTAGTGATGTGTAAAAAATGACCAATGATAATTTATCTTACCCAGAACACCTCATATGTATTTGCCCTCATAAATAAATCATGGTCAAAGGTACTCGGTCTGTCATATCATGGTATATAACGAACCTCATGAAAATTTGTCAATAATATTTATAATAGGATCTTTTAAAAAATACTTCAATAATATTTCTCTTTTGTTTAATATAACAGGCTACCAGATCTTCTTGATGTTATTAAAGGAATCGAAGTTTCTCATGAGGCAGTAGTTACAGCCCTTATAAAGTTTTTTCAAGAATTTTGTTTGTGTTTTGGAAAAACCTTTATTAAGCAGAAGGTAATTTTTGTCTTTAATCATTAAGTATTGTGAACAGATAAAAATTGACAACAAAACTTCTATCTTGCCGTTAAAAAACTATCTTTATGTAAACATATGCAGTAGAATTAGCCTTTTATTTATTTGTGCATGAATTTTTTCATTGCATTATGCTGATAGGTGAAGCCATTATTTGTCCAAAGAGTGCAACATTTAGAGTCTGCAATTACAGCAATGGGGAGAGGAAATTCTTGCCCCCCACTTACTCTCATTCCAGTTTATGTTGTAGGAGTGTTGGCTTCAATGGAGGTAAACCCTTTATTGTTTTGCACACAAGTTTGATAAAAACTGCTTTTTGTAATGAAAGACAGTCTTATTTCAAGTTTTAAAAATGTATAGGTTCCTGGTGCTGTGGAAGAATTAGGAATGGTGCTAAAAAGATTCCTTTGTGGGCTTGCTGTTTGTGGAACTCCTTTGGATGCCTTGGATGTAAGCGTGCGTTGCCTTTGTGAAGAACCATCTTTGCAAGATACTGTTGTCTCAATGCTTTGGGAAGGAGTTGTCCACCCTCGAGCTGTAGTGCGAGTTGCTGCAGCTTCCTTATTTGTCACTGTTGTGGGCAGCATTGCTGACAATTTGTTGACAACTCGTGTAGCTCCTGCTTTAGTGACATTAGCTAGTGACCCAGATATGTAAGTAAAATTTCCAACATGGAGAAATTGTAAAATTGAAGAATTATTAAAATAAGAAATGTTTATTGTTATCATAATGTGTGTTCAGAAATGGCAATTTTTGTGGAGAAATATGAGATTATTAAATACAAATTTAAAGGGGAGACAGAGGAAAAATCTAAATTTTTGACAGTTTAGGGATTTTAAAATTTTCTAAATATTTAGTTTTCTGAATAAAATTATATATACATCATAGTGAAATGCATTCTTTTAACTTATAATTTGTTACTATTTTCCTTCGCCTCCATATGTCAAAATGGCAGTCACTTTGGTTACTTAAGTCTGTTATTTATGTTATATCTTTTGACCGAATCCTTCACTAAGTAATAGACAAAAGTTCTTTCTTTAATGTTGCTTGAACTGCTAAACTTCATCTTCTATGACTATTTACGAGGCAAATGAATTTTGTTTACAGTGATGTGGTAACTGATTTCGTAGAAGACCCTGTTCATAAATAGGGGGCATCATTTCAGATATGTATTTCTCAAATGTAGACAATCTAGATAGATCATTACAACATATGTCCGGAAATGCTTCATTCCATTGCTATAAAATTATATACATATATGCTTCATTTATCATATATAGATTATAGATCAATTATATAGATTATATATAGATTATAGATCAATTATAGACTGAATAATTTCTGAGATTGTGGGTAAAATGTACAATGAAATTAACATGGGAGAGGGAGGGCTTTATGCCTCTCATTTAATACAGTAATTGTTGTTTATTAACCTCCTCAAATCTGAAAGCATGACAAACTTCAATATTATCTGTGATCCAGCAATGTGAATTACTGACTCCCAATAAACTGACACCGATTAATATCTATGTACCATGGCAACAATGTGAGTTGGATTCTATGCTTTCAGATTACATGTATTGAATGTAATACATGTAAGAAAACAATTAGGATATGTCTGTGTGTTTCAGTGCTGTTAAAACTGCCACATTACCAGCCCTTGGATCTTTGATTACAAGTACATCCATTAAAGAGGTTGGTTGATAGATTGATTTTTCATAACTCTGTAGTACATTCTCTGAATCACTGCATTAGTGGACTGTGATTATTTTCTTTCTCATCTTTTACCTTTTTTATACTCCTTACCCTGAATATCAAAGCATTAATTTTTCATTCCCATTTTCATATACAGGATATTACTTTCTTGAATACATAATATTGTCAAAATAATAATTGTGGGGCCAAGAAATGTTTTTTGTTTTTCTCTGTGTCCAATCCTGTTTCCTCTGTGAATAACACTTGTGCCGAAAATGCACAGAGGATTGGAGCAAAAAATCAACTTATATCCTCAAGAGCTAAAAGTAGCATTAATACAGAATGAAATTCATAGCTTCAAACAGAAATTTGCAACGTACAATTTTGCAATCAAAAATAAAATAACACAAAAGGAAATTTTTTGCCTTGATTTATTGTAATACCTTCTTTTTATTTTATTTGAATGGTTTTACTTATGTCGTTAATCTTTGGTTTAGTAATACTTACATAATATGTTTACTTTGTTAAATTTTTTTTATCAAATCTATTGATTATTTTAACTTTATTTTTAAAAACAGTCTATCAAGGGTTGACAAAACATGTTTTTGGACAAGGACATGATATTTAGAGAAGTAATAGGAAAAAAGACATAGGTATTAAGAATTGCATTTGTAGAGTGAACAACTTTAATGAAAGATATGCAAAAAATACTTTCATAAACATTACATTTTATTTCTTCCACATAAAATATATTTTACAGTATATCTTTTCAACTCGGGTCTTTGTAACTTCAGCCAGGTAATGGATCACCTTCACAAAACACGAATACCGTATTTGTCCATATACGGAGGTCGCAACGGAAGTTTTGAGATGTATTGTTACCTACACCTTTCCACGAAAGCGAATCGCATCGATCGATGCGCCGAGTGTGCGTAAAAGTTGGAACTTGTGTCTGAATGGAGCCGGCGAGAGGGCACTTTCGTCCAGTGATTCTTTAAGACTTTAAAAGTGGTCTGAACGCCTTGATCGTTTGCAACGGGCTGTTGAGGACCTTGCGCCTTCCCGTGCAGCAATTCTTCGGTGGTTTCAAGAATTCAGAAGAGGCAGAACTTTGAAAAGCGAGGAGAGGGGCGAGCGTCCGGCGACCGCAGTGACTGAAGAAAACATATGAGGAAAAATTGGTGCGCGGAAACAATCGTGCGACATTTAAGAACATTGAAGGGTCTCTACAGATTGGATCGTCGGCAATTTCCAAAATCCTGCACGAAAATCTTCAAGTCAGGAAAGCTGCAACTCGACGGGTGCCTCACACTTTGACAGAATCGCAGAAGCGCATCCTTGTGCAATGGGGCGAAGAAATGTTGAAAATATTTAAAAGAGGCAACTAGGATCGTTTTGGACATAGTTACTGGTGACGAAATGTGGATTTACCCTGAAAATAAGCGCTATCCTACTGTTTGGATTTTCCCCGACGAACATCCACCAACAAAAGTTAAACGGCTTCGAAGCCTCGAAAAGAAAATGTTTGCAACATTCTTCTCCAAAATCGGTCATGACTCTCTACTGTTCTATTGCAAGAACATACTGCTTGGTGGTACACAACAATATGTCTACACACTTCACTTGTTTTCACACTCCAAGATCTGGTTCTATTTTTTATTGCCATAGATCTGAAATTGTAGTGGGTTAAAATAAAACCTCATTGAGAGGAAAATTGAAATTACTTCTTTGGGAAGCAGATAAAGCCCAGTTAGAGATAAAGATGTCTGAAGTCTAGAGCCCTAATTCAAATGACTGTCTCTTTGCAATGGGCCTTCAACAAGTTTCACTCACTATCAGATGTACTTATTTTACTTTCTCGCTGCCACTGACGCAGTAGAGTGTGTAATGCTGCGCGAAAAAACGGGGAATTTTCGAGGGAAAAAAAACCTCTTATTACAGGGCCCTGATAACGAAAAAGTGGATAAATCTAGTTGCTCAATTTAGAAGGGGGGGGGAGGGAATCCTCTAACACTAGTGTAGCCAGAAAACAAGTTTTATGGGTCCTTGATACCCAGAAAAACCAAAGGCAGCAAAATGTGTGTGTCTGTGTGTGTGAATAAAGCTAGCAGCTGAACTGTTGAGCTGATTTTCTCCAAAATTGAAACCGATATTTTAATTTTGGGTTAAATTACCGAAAGCCCTAGGAACATTTTCCAAATGAAAAAAAAGTGCTTCATTGTTTTTGAGTAAATTTTGTTTGATAGTGTGAAGGACTTTTAAGAAAATGGTGCAGTTCTGGTGTTTGTTGAAAACCCTCATTTTCCAAAAATTGAAAAATTCAAAATATTTTTGGCGCCTTCCTACAACTACAATTATGAAGATTAACATTTTTTTTTGTAATGAAATGTGTTAATGAAAAAAAATCTAAAAATAATGTCTTGATCAATTTTTTGAAAACATGAGCATTTTTTAAGTAATTTATTGACAAACTTAGTCTCCTCCTCTGAATCTCCTGCGCTTCATGAATGTAACATGAGAAGTGATTCCCGACAGTTGAATACTGCGTAAGTTAGAATTTGTATATTATTTCATATTTCATTGTTTGTTTCTTACATTTAAACTTTTGTTATACATTTACAAATTAAACTTTTAGAAATTCTTTAAAACCTATTTGAAATAAAGATTGCCTGCAGGGAATATCAAATTAGCATGCAACAATTGTATTCTCTGTCGTGATTTGTCATTTCTGTGAACTATGTCTCTGTGTTGTGAAATAATTTACCTGTATGAAAAGCAGTTATAATTTTCAAAGTTATGTTGATATTTGCTTGTAAATATTTATTTACTTTTTACACCAAATGTTCTACGAGTATTACAAAAAATGATGACTGAGATGTGTTAATTTGGAGGGAAATTGTGGTATATAAATAATATTACATAACCATTACTAAAGGCAAGAATGTATATGCTGTTTTAGCACCACTAGTTTATGATGGCAGAAGTGTTTGGCATGAAACCCAATGAGGCACAAACTGCTAAGTGGCATCTCCACTATCAGGTGGACTGCAATGTTTTCAACAGAGTTGTAACTAAGAACTTAATAATAAATAGTCAACTTCCATATTTGAATCTTATTTTTAAAACCCTGGAAGTCAGGAATTGTAAAGTTGTGGGAAAATAAGAAAAACTAATTACAATTTACAAATAATTTATTTTATTTCTCATGCATAAATCTTGATTGAGAATGCTATGGATAAATGTAATTTACTTGTATCAATAGTACAAAATTCAATTTCAAAATTCAATAGTTCAAAAACTAATAAAAAATTTGTTTCCTAAACATGTAAATAAATACACACAAAGTTTGTAATTTGACACGTCTTACGATATGTGAAATTACAATGTATATCAACATCAAACATGATTCATATGACAGAAACTTGCTTGAAATGTATGTTTCTATTATATTACATGGGAATATTTATCTATTGAATACCCCTTATAACCAATCCCAATCTGTCTGATATCTGTCATACACACAGTATACATACATACATACACAGTCGTACATACCCTTCAAGTCAATGATTTACAGTTTCAAAACTAAACCAAAACTTTACAGTGTCCTCACAACCATTCTATTCATCTAAATTTCGTGATTTACACTTCAAACAATGCATCTATCCTGCAGCTTCAATTTTCTTGCAAAAATGCAAATGACAGGAACTTCAAGGTTTTCAAAATAACTGATTCATTTACTCTGTAATTGCTGATTGCCAGAAGCAAAGAAGAAAGATCTGAAGAGAATGATTCTGATAAAAGTAATATTGTTGACAAACTTTTAATTCACAGTAATTTTTTTTATTATTTGCTGTCTGCAAGCATATGTTGTTTCAATATGTTAATAAGAAAATAAAGGAGTCAATAATATTATGTTATTCATATTAGAAATTTGTTTACTTTGTATACATTAATATCTCTGGCACTTTCGACAGATAAAATTGTCCAAATTGTAACAGAAAATATCTGGACACTGGAGATATATTTAATTATTACACTATTTGACTAAACTGTTATGTAATTAATGTCAATCATGTAAAAAGGCTTTGTTGCAATAGCAAAAAATAAGAAACATTTATTCATATTTTCAAGTATAAGCAAATACAAACTCATTTTTCTCAAAAAAATGAAAATGTCGCTTACATCACTTTTCACTTGAAATTGTCAATTATTAACAATTATTATAATTCTATTATTGGGAGTTAGTTTTAAATAATAAAATTATGAATGTGCTATACAGTAGTATAATATTCAACGTACAGGTATTTAAATATGACCGGTTTTTGAAATTCTCTGGTTAATTTGAAAGCAAATATTAGAATGCTCAATTATCTTCACTACATGTTAGTGATGATTAATATTATGTACATAGTATCCTGTACAATGCTTCAAATTGTGTCATTCCAGTCCAAACAATACTGATTGACCATTTTCTGTTTTCTCACAAACTTGCAATCATTCACCATTTAATACCACTTACATGTTACCTCTTACCCCTGTTCATCCAATTTTATCTTATTATGTTATACCTGATATACAACTCAGGTGACTCAAAGATTTTAATTTGCAGGTCCAAGATAAGACTTACATGCAGATTCAAAGCTTCTTATCTGATCCATCTATAAGAGAAAATCATTCCATGCTGTTGCAGCTTGTTGTTACGATGGGGAGTATAGTTACAGCATGTGATTCATGGTTTAGAGAAGAAGGTATTTTAAAGAACTTTTTTCTTATAAATAAATCATATGATGGCATGAATTTTTCTTAATGATTAAAAATAGTACTTTTCATGTCAGTGTTTGCCTTGCTGAGTTCCTCAACTTGCTACTTACCTTTTAATATTTCAGTTATTGTTCCACAATTGGCTGCCTTGTCATCCTATGCTGAACAGTTGACTAATCAAACTCGACGCCTTGATTTAGCAACAGTTCTTATTGAGGCTTTCTCAGCCACAATATATTGCTCTCTGCCAAAGAACATCATTAGTTCTCATTTATTGCCAGGACTGAGGTAAATATGAAAATTGTATATTTGCTCCTCAATTCAATTGGGCAGATTGATTACAATTATTAAAAATTAAGTATAATAAGATTATTACAAAATCTCAAAAAACAAGAAAACAATTTTTGCTAGTTTAAAAATAAATTGTAAGGATAGGTAATGTTTCCTGGGACACTGAAAAAGGGGGAGGGGAGAGAGGGGTGTGTGTGTATGCGGTTGTATGCGAATAAGGTGTTAGTTACATTTTAATAAGAATTACATTCATTTAAAAATCAGTATTGCACGCATGAGAAGTTGAACGTAAATGTGCTTCTGTAGCATTTCTCACAGTTTGGTTTTCTCCGTGTTTACTTGAAGTTCTTCAAGGGTAATAAGTGCCAAGGCAAATGAGAGGGGGGGACAGTTGCCCCCTCCCTCCCTCTGCATGTACGTGCACATTTTCACTAAACAGGATTATTGAAAAGCACTCGGAATGCAGTAAAAGAGCTCTAGGGAAATTTTGGCACAGTACAGCACAAAGCCCTTAATTATTGTGATCCATATTAATTTCACTGCAAGAGTTACATTTATATAGTCAGATTTAAGATATTGTGAGACCTTGTTACCAAAACAGTGTTGGTTTTTTTTCTTTCAAAAAGTCTGTTTGTCTGTGAACACCACTAGTGCCTTAACCATACGTAGGATATTTTTTCCTAAATATCCATTTTTTTTCTTTCTTGCAAGAATAGGGTAAAATACACTTATAAAGATGGCATTTGTCCATTTTTTACTGCAAACGCTAAATTTTTTTAATTGCAAGTTTGAATTTTTTTGGTGTCTTCCTACGACAAAATTGAAGATAGTGATTTTTCCTTTAACTGAAATTTGTTGTCCATAATAAGTTCTTTCATTAAGGTCATGTACATTTCTCGTAAACTTTTAGTAGTTTTCAAAATACTATGTGCAATTTAAAAAAATAACAAAACAAGAAACAGCAACAAATGTCTTTAAACGTTCAGTAGGGATAGTGCTACATTTTCTCTATAACAAACACAATTGTGCTCTTTTTTTATTTTTCAAAAATTACATAACTAATTTTTTACTAACCTCCCACTTCTTTAGAATTGACATTCGTGCCGAATTGTTCATGTTATTGCATTTACAAGTACATGTGCTTTAAATGTTTCAAAGTGTTCATGCAAACTCAATACTTTTCTGTGAAAATGAGATCAAAATTCCGCATTATCAGGAAAACTCAAACACTTCTTAAAACCGGCTCCAATTATTTTTTCTTCAATCTTCTCGTATAGATAGTACGCTGCGCTGTTTAAGATGACATTAAATTCATTTTGCTGTATTCTTTTATTTTTATTTTTCAAAAATTACACAAATGTATATTTTTAAAATATCTCTCAAACTGTTAATATGCTTATTTACTCTAGAGTTTAAATCATTGTCTTAAAAGGTGTTCTAGATTTTTCAACAAAATTCGTTTAATATTTTAAAAGAAATATTTCGAATCTACCATTAAGAAACCAAAAAATTTAGAAAACTTCAAAAAATGTATTTTGGGTGGCTATAGATTGCTGCTGGCTAGAGGATGGAGCAAGACTGTAAAGCTAGCCCACACCAAAGAAATGAGAAAACAAGGTAGTACGAAAAAGTCTGTGTCATTCTTTAGCACCACTAGTTTTGAATAGGGACCAGGTCCAGAATGTTTTCTTTTCAGATCGTTTTTTACCTTTCTCTTTCACAAAAATCTTGTTTGGCAGCTGGATTTATTTTGGGAATATGTTTCTGATAACTGGGTGCACCAATGTAATTTAAATATAATTTGATATAAGTGTAGAGTTTCTGTTGCTCTTTTTCACAGATCATTAGAGTCTATTAGCAGTCAGTCTTTGCTTGTTCATCATGAGACATTGCTTGCCATGATCAAAGGAGCAGAATCACGCATAGAAATCCAACGCCCAATGGAAAGGTATGTATTGTTAGTCAGTATTTAGAACATTCATAAGCTTCCTGTACCTGGAATACGTTCCTCTCTCCTGCAGGTCAGGTAGCATCAGTTTGGCATCTGCCACAGCCAATGTTGGTCATGGAATGGAAGACATGAAACAACGGGTCACCAAAATATTTCAAAAACCAGCTATGAATCGCCCCCCAAACTTACCAAATCTTCAAGGAATATTTCGTAAGAAATGATTGTATGTATAATTTTTATCACCTTCTGAGCATAGATATAATTTCTTTGTTTTTATAACGGTTATGAAATTTTTATCTCAATCATATATTTCTCAAACTGTTACAGCATTTACATTTACATTCTATGCTTTACTTAATTTTCAATTAGTAATAATAAAAAATTTGGTTTTCTTTTTCTTGCCTTGCACGATTTATGCCCTTATATATCTTTATAATTTTCTTTCGCCTTTGTATATTTCTGACACTCACTTCTGTCGATTTGTGGTTTGTAAAGAATTATAAATATTTGACTAAATTTTGTAATACTTCTTATAATATCTTCAGGAAACTAGTATTGCAATTATTATAAATATAACTTCATGTTTGTATTTTAGAATATAACATCCCATTTGTCATTAAGGGTCCCTTCAATACTTGGACATTAATTTCACTATTGTTCTGAAAAGTTTTCTGCTTGTTCATTGTACTTTCTCATGTACATGGGGCAATATACATAATATAGAGAAATTTGTATAATGCTGCAAAAATCGATTATGAGATTTTAAAGGGAAGAGTGTGTAGAAAAAGTGTCTTTTTCTCCCTGAAACTTCTGTTTGAAAGTCCGTTGGTGAACATCACTATTGCCTAAACGAATTGTAGGATTTTTTCTAGAAGAATATTCCCCAGTCAATTTGTTCTGAGTCTAAACTCTTTGCGATTTTTGATTCTTATAATTTTGGAGTATGTTACATGAAGTCGCTGGGACATTTTCAAAATTTTCTCAAAAGTGGTTCCAATTTTTTCTCTAAATTTCTTATAAGAATTACAGTGAAAGACACTTGCAAGATAGCTTAGAAGCAATTTTTACTGGTAACTCAAAATTTTCAATAAGTTTCAAATTCTTTGAAGCCTCTTCATACAACTACATTATTGAAGACAGATTTTTTTCTTGAAATGAGATTTGTTCTTTAAAATTAGATCATTAAATGAGGACTTGTAAATTTGTTTTTAAATCAAAAGTATTTTTCACGTTTCTTTAAATCTTTGAATATCTTGGTGTTTTAGTATGCAAGTGAATATAAGGAATTATTTTAAAAAATGTTGGAGGAAAATATATTATGTAACCCTAAACTAACACCCCCTTCCCTTATGAAACGCAGCGGAACGCTGTCTCAAGCCTCTCCCCCGCCCCCCACTTGCTGGTTACAATAAATTCTGGACAAACCCAAATGACATTTTTTCAGAAACAGCTCCAATGAAAATATGCATGGATCACGTTCCACTTTTCAATAATATTCTTTGTCATATTTCAATGGAAACCAAAAAATTGTGAAAATGTGTTGACACCATTAGATAGAAGCTGGAAAAGGGTGAGGGCAAAACCGAAAAACTAACTCAGTCTGAAGAAATTAGGAAACTAACTAGTACAAGAAAGTCTGTGCCATTCTGTAGTACCACTAACTTAGATCTTATTGTACATGTTCATAGCAACTAATGTTTATTTCCAGGTATCAAAATATTACCCTTCAATTTGCTTGAAACTTATTATTTTAAAATGCTCCAATTGTTTTTCATGATAGTGATTAGTATCAAAGGATTATTTTCAAATTATTATTAATTTTATAACCAATACTGATACTACATCACAATTACTTATTTTTTCAGGCTATTTGTATGCTACATTGCTTGGTTGGTAAGAAGAAAATTACAGACTATTGAACTTCACATAATATGATCAATGTTTTTTATGAAAGGAAGATTATTTTAATATACATTTACCAATTTCCTAGCTGTTATTATTTTGATGATAACTATCATTGTGCATACTTTTCTTCCTCATTAGAGTAACTATTTTTTTATAATTTATTGTGTGAATTACAAATCCTGATATATTTATAAATTATGTTGCAGAAAAAAATATGTTGGGAGTTGCTGAAATGTCTTTCTCAAGTGAAATTTGTCTTCAAGGCTTTTTTATGTATGTTTTTCTTTATTAAGGTTGTGATATACAAATTCCTTTTAGAGAATATCATTCCGTCTCCAATGAAAATATTACGTGTGGAGGAGGACATGTACAGTTATTTTGTATATAATGTATGCGTTTTGAAGTCTATTTTATTAAACTTTGACATGGTAAATTGTATGCACTGTGCTGTATGTTCAATTTCATTTTTGTAACAGCAGGTGAATATTCCACTTTGTCTGCCTTATTGCATACACTATTCCAAATAACTCTGTTGGAAAGTATACAACGTAATATACCAAGATGCAATTATATGTGCCTATCTCCTATTGTGCCAAAAAAATGATCTAGTTCGAGGGTAAACATTACACACAAAAAATTATTTTATCTGAGGAATATTTGATTGTCAAAATTTGTAATTTCGGAAATCACAAATGCCTTAATGGTGGTACTGTTTACATCCATATTTATCTAAAAGGATTGGAATTTGTGTATTTTACTTTGGTACATCTTCAAAGGAATGGACTGCTTTATTGGTATAAATTTATTTGTATTTATCACACACTTCTATACATAGTTGTAACTTTAATTTTAATAATCTTGGTACTGGAATGTGACTGGAGCAGAAAAACACCCTTCAATTAATGAAATAAAGTTGTTTCAAAGTAAAGAAATTTGTAAGGAGTTTATTACTTAGATCACTTGTGTATAAAATGAGAACCTCCGTTACCATTATCAATCTGTGTAAAGCTTTTGAACATTATCAACAGGATTTAGATCTAAGTTTGGGTCAGTTCAAACAACTAGTTTATTTACTAGCCAGTAAAAACTCATGGATAAAGAAGCACAAAATGTACTAGAATTATTATAAATAGCAGTAATGTTGGGATAATATATAGGCAGAACATTGGCCAATTGATGATGTAGTAATTTGAATAGATGGAGCCACCATTTAAAATTTGACACCACTTCACTATTTTCCAATAAAAATGACAAACAAAAGCACAAATTTTAAATTTTACCACTTTTTCTTTATATAATGAATAGAGTACTTAACTGAATTACAATATGTAAGGGATCTCACATTTGCCATGGAATGAAATTCTAGACAAAAACCATAGTAGAACTCGACTGTTCCAATTGGACAAGTTTCCTTTGAAAGCTTGCTCCTCTTAAAGATCCACATCTTGTTTGTAATTTTAGGAGGTAACGATACACAGCTTCATTGATCATTATCATTTCATATATTGTTATTTTAAGTATCACTGAAATTTTTGATTTTTTAATTTTTATTCTACAAAAATCTCAGGACATTCTGCTATTAGAAAATGTTAATTTTTTACCATCTTGCTCTTTTTATTAAATGTTCGGCATACAACCACATGTATATCTGTCCCCTCACACATCACATTATTATACTGTTGTTTCTCTATGATAGCACTTGAAATTTGTCAGAAAATAAGACTACATTTCCTCTGCATTATGCCCATTTCTTTTTAAAACCTATATATAACTACAGACAAATAAAATTTGTATCTCCGATATTTTGCTTGCAGGATTTTTTTTATAAAAATAAATATTTATTGAAGATTATGACTTACAAAAGAGATTATTGCAACTCTCATAGAGTCGCAACCTTTTTGAGAACAGGTAGATGACAGATGGGAAAACGATGAAGGACAGTTTGAGTGCAAATAAAAAGTAGAGAAGGAACACTAGAGAAATGAAGGAACAGGTTGGACCCAGATTATGTTCGTAGGTAGTACTCTACAAAATTTTTGGAATGTTCTTTTACAATTTTACAGATTTAGTTATTTTGGTTACCCCAGCCACAGCATTGGTGGTCATAAAAATGCAAAAGTCAAAATCAATGTACAAATAAATTGCAGGAAAAACAGTAAAATTATCTTTTACAATAAAAATAAAGGGAATATTTTATTTTCTGTGATTATTCATTTCCACACTCAGCAATATTGGAAGGATTTCTCTTGCACAGTACCGGGTCTATAATGCTGTAAAACATATTTTGGGGGAAGGGCATTTGCAGTTAGGTACTACTAAATGGATTTTTAGTTTTCATACAATTATTATTTACAAAGGGTAGAGTTTTCACACGGGTCTGGATTGTATATTCAATAAAACTTGCTTAATATGGAAATCTGTCTCGTGTGAACTTAAATTGTGGTCCTGCCAATCACAAATTCTACAGTATTACATTGCAAAAAGCAGAATCTTGTCTAATACAGAAAAAATTCTGGTCCCTTGAGGTTCCACTTTGAGCGGGATCGAGGGGAAAAGATAACTTTTTGTTGTCTGAAACAACTACAGATATGAGAGCATAGGCTTCCCTGGCCAGAATAACTTCTCAGCTGTCCAGGAGACGCTGCGTCCTCGGTATAGGTGCCAATGTTTCGGCCACCATTCTAAGACCTTCCTCCTGGAGGAAGTTTGCAGGTGCCCTGTGGTTGCAGTGTCTCCCATGCAGCCAAGTCTTAGATTTTTAACTATGGCTCAGTAATTGAAAAAAAAATTCACAACATGTGTTTTGAGCTTTCCATCTTATCCAGGGACATCCTGCGTTCACAAAGTTGTCATTTGTTTGAACATTTTATTTAGGATCAAATGATGGTGGGATCTTCCACCATCCCTGTGGTGCATACACCTCCTCTGGGACATGGGTTTGATCCCCGACTAACCCATGTGGAATTTATGGAAGGCATACCGAGCTCTCGGCAGATCTCCTTAAGATTTGCCCCATTCCTCTCATTCCATTATCATTATTATGACATCTACTTACTGATTTATATCATCACACATTGGCTTTACCGATCTACTAGTTGAAGGCCCCCTGATCGCAATAAATAAAAACTCTAAAGAAAATATTCACTCCATTTTGAATAAATAATTTTCAATTATGGAAAAAAATGATTTTGCCTTGAAGTGGAATTTCTTCAAAATTGAAAAAAGTATTAAACATTTTTTTTATTTATACTTGTAAGCTTCCGTGGCTAGAGATCATGGCTTCTTGGCTGTCCAGATGACTCTGCGTTGTTGGCTGAGAGGCCGGCGTTTCACCAGTCATGTCGAAGACTTCCTCACTGTCCTGAAGAAGCCTGTGACATGACAGGAGAAGAAGCGGCATCACTCGGACAGCCAAGGAGTCATTTTTTTTTTTTTTACTTAGAAAATAATTATTATTAACTTTGGTGTATGTCTAGAATACTCATCAGCATTGCAATAAACATCAATCACAATGAAGGAAACACTCACTGAATTTTAATAAAACCATTTTCATTTTTCAGAAAAAATACTTAGTTTGATATTCCTTCAAAGTTTAAAAAATATTAATAAACATTTTAATTTATTATCTGATGAAAGTTAAGAAAATCAACAGTCACTTGTGTTAATTGAGGATTCTAAATCTGAAGAATTTATTAGAGAAATGTTAGACCAACATGAATCTTTAATAAAATATTTGAATTTAATTTGCATTTACCTTTACATACTTTACAATCAGCTTCTATTAAAACACTTCAAACTCATCAATGCAAAATAACTTACTTTTTTGTCAGCCAATTTATAATTTACTTCTTTTAATATGCATCAAGCAATAAGGAATTTGGAAAATTCAACTGAAAGAGACATCGGAAACACTGAGTAGTGTGAATCTTATATTAGTATAATATACCTTTTCACAAAGATTCCAAAGAAATTGGAATTATGGCTGAGGCAAAGTAATAAAAAAAACTGATTTATTCATAACAATATTTTAAAAATTTAGGTAACATCTTTGAATTAAAATTTATTTTAAAATAATAAAATTTTGAAATAAAATTATATTTTAACATCTTTTGAATTAAGATTTATTCTGAATCCTAATAAAAGATGACAAAAAGTTTTTGAGTGCTTTTTTATCTCTCCAAAGTGAGCCCATACATTCAAGAAAGGATTTGGTGAGCCCTGGAGATAATGTTTATAAACTTTATTTGGAAAAATTTAAAGAGGAATCACTTCAAATGTGAAGAAATCAGGAATTTCTGAAGTAATTGTAATGATTGCAAATGATTTTACTTAGAAAAAAACAGTTCGGAAATGTGTATAAACATATGATCTTCAGAAAAGGAGAGAGAAAGAGTACCTATATTGTTCATGCATAATTCAATACAATAAGTCTAAATAATTTTAGATGATTAAGATCAAAACATTTCACAAACTACTTTTAATTGTAACTTCCTAGAGATCCTAACTCCCTTTAATTAGTGAATTCAGGAAAACAAGAAGTTATAGAAGGGATAAAGAGTTGCTTAAAGTATAAAGCTAGCAAAACACCCACATTGTTTTTGTTTTTTTTGGTAAATAATGTTGTAAGCCATATCACAAAAACAACACTGACATACTTATGGTATGGTTCTTCGAAATCTTAAATTTAATATAATCTTTTTTATAAATAATTTCTGATAAAATTGTTCAGTAGTTTAAAATCTGTTGTTTTATTTTTCTTCTTTTTTTTTCCTTCTTCTGGATCAAGATAAAACCTGAGGCGGGCTCTACAATTAATTATAATCGTGCCCAAGAAAATGATTATATGTAATCCAGAAAAATACCATCAATATGAACCAGTAAAAGTAAATTTCTTTTTAAATAGTTTTTCAATTTTTATTCTTAGTTAGTATGAAGTAGGTTTAACACGGTATGTTTTAAAACTTTATCTTCGTATATCATGTTACACAGCCCAATGTTTCTTTTGTTGCTTATTACAATAGGACTTTCTATTGCATCCTCTCAATCCCCATACGTTAACTGCAACTTTACCTACCTTCTCTAAGCAAGTTTTAAAATGTTTACATTGAACATGTGTATTTGTACACATATATTTGTTAATCTGTTACATTTCATGTTTTGACGTGTAACGTCGCAGTCAGTCATTGCCTTGTATCCATTCGACGAGGGGCTCGGCGCCATTAGGAGCCATAGTTCCCATACGGGAACCTTTGGTTTCTCAAGTTGCTAAACTCCATGGAGCATTACTGAGTGTCTTTACAGCACGTAGCTAAGCAATTCAGCTAATTCTGTTGTTCCTTTTTGTGACATTAAGTAGTGGGAGAAAAATGCAAGTTAATAACTAAATACAGGTGTCTTACCTGCTCACCACTCATATAATCTAACTTACGTATCTACTTGCTTTTAATATGAACTTCAAGTGATTTGGAATCACATAACGTTTTAACACTACTAATTCATTATGTTAACGAAGTTATTATAAGAAAAATCAACTTTCTTCATATTACACAAACTTTTCCTCCTCAAATATTTTCCGTGAATCTTTTTCGTGCAAAGTGAAAATGTAATAATTGCCAAATGCAGCTGAATTCCCAATACCTACAACTTTATCAAATATTTTTGATATTTTCAATTTTCCTTTGAATTACAAAAATAATATGTAATTTTTTATTACAGTTACATCTTTAAACACATGCTAAAAGTTTTAAGGATAACATTTGTCCAAACGCTATTCAGTACTATAGATGTAAAAATTTATGCTTACACTAAATCTGAAGAAATTCATCCATTATCTTATTCTTACTGTTAAATGTAAGCTAGATAAGCACGATTTATTTTCTGTTAAAATCACAAATAAAGCATGTATAAGGTCTATATTTTAACTACAGCAAAACCTCCATTATCCGGGGTAATGTCAGGGAAGGGGGTCCTCAAAAAACCAAAATGTTCTTTCTGGTTGAAATATGTGTACAGGTACTACAGAAAAAAAGTTCACATGTACAAGGAATTTGCATCAATATTACTTGTAGAGATAAGTTATTTTTTATTTAATATTTCTATCATGTCTTAAATACTTGTGATCAGATTCAAAATAAATTTATTAAATTGGTTAAACCATCCCTAGAAGACAGATTAGAGTTCATAATTTTCATTAAGAAAGAGACCTTGGATAATGGAGGTTACAATGTTCATGAAAACATGACTTTTATACAAAATAGCTATTAACTGGATTAAACCAGAGCAAACTGGCGGTTTTATCATCATAATGAACAAGGAGGGATGTAATTCATGTAGTCATGGCACGAGTACAATTAAATATAAACCTGCACCAATAAGGAGAGTAAAAACCGATAAACATGCGAAAATTAATTAAACTGTTGTTTTTTTTAAACAATTTATTTTGCAAGCCGTGCCATATACAACAATCAAATGTATTTACCTATTAATCCAATTATACCATGATCTCAATATTATGAAATGTTACTGCCAATGCAATCCCTAAGAAAACCGTTTACACAAAACTAAAGTTTGTTCCTCAAACCAGCAGAATGAAGTTCACGAAACAATTTAACAGCATATTTAGCTGTACCAGGTGCTGCAGTCACGCCATACCCTCCATGACCGTAATTGTGAATGATCTAAAAATTTAAACAATGTTCCTGTAGTGAAATTCCTCTCATCCTATAAATCTGATAGATTTAATGTTAAAGTAACCTACCTTTATTTTCTCAGAGCCTGTATCTTTTATTTCAGTTTCAACTCTGACAGTACTTCTGTGTGGTCGAAGACCTACAGCATCAGCAACAACACGTGCATTCTTCAAACTGGGTAATAATTTCACACAGCGTTCGTGAATAGCTGCTTTATCATGAGGGTTAATAGATAGATCATAACTTTCATATTGGCGACACCCTCCCAAAGTAACAGCCTTAGAACCAGGAATGACATATGTATCATAATCTGCGTAGAAGAAGGTTTTTATCCATGGAGCTTGAACCTAAAATACCCAAAAACTGTAATAAGAGGCTTAATCAAAACGTTATTAAACTGAAAAGAGACACTTATGATTAAAACCTTGATAATCTGGCCCCTGATAGGTACAAGTTTGTAGTCAGAACACAAGTTTCTAGCTCCCATCCCGAAGCAATTGATGAGAACATCATAATCTGCCACATCACTGAAGCTGGATATAATTTTCTTGAGTACTTTACCACCTGATAGTTTGAACCTGAAGATTTAATGCATACACCATTCAATAACACTAATTATGCTGGAAATCTTAACTTAGATTGGAAGAATGAGTGAACACTTCTTATTAGATAATTTTCAAGTAAGGTCACCTGTCTAATGCCCAAGGCAGAAATTTGTAACATTCAGTCAGTAGTGTTGTATAAAATGATCCATACAACCAATTACCAGGACAAAGTCTCAATTCTTCTTCAGTAGCAGAGCGATAGACAGGCAAGAGGTGTTCCAAGTAAGGGTTCTGTAGGAAAAAGGAATTTGCCATTCACTTCCAGAGAGAAAAGAACTTAGTGTTTTAAAACTCTTAAATTCTTCTCCCACTCACTCTGACAATTTCAGGAGATGTACTTGAAAATTGATATCCAGATACTTGAGTCACCCCAGCTGCACTGCTGTCAACTGATTGACATAATCCGTCATAGAAATAGTATGAATCTTGTATCCATTGGCTGCACAAAAAGTTATTTGAAATTTTTTACAAACTGATCAAGTTCAAGAATCTTTTTTAAGTATAAGTAATCCTAACAACATTAAGCTTTTGTTCCTCCCATTTTTATTTAGTCCTATCTGGAAGCACAAGGGTGTAATAACACTGCAAAAACCCTTTGCTAGGATAAAGAAGAAGTTTTTAATTAAAAAAGTTACAATATTTCAGAGTCATGGTTTACATCTATTGAAGCAAATTATTTATTACAAAAATGTTGCATTTCACAGCATAATTTCTGATCTGAGAATTTAGTAACTGATAATACATCAGCAAGGTGTACATTCAAAATGCAGGAACATACAGAACAGTAAGAAATCAGGTACAATAAAAATATTCCCACAGGAAAAACAACTCATGAAACAGAACGAATATACACATTCATACTTCACAAGGTTTTCAAACTTAAACTTCAATCAAAAAACAGTCTTCACATTATCTTTTGCAATGCTAGGTGCCACAAAACCTTCACCATCCGAGATTCTTTAAACAAAAACTGTAGCATTATCATGAAGAAAACATGCTAGGAAATGCAAAGTAAGATAACTGTGTGGAAGACAGCTTCAATCAATAGTAGTGCAGACACCTTGTAATGTCTCTTGAAATCCCTTCAAAACTGGAAGCAGGTCGGAAAATGCCTGCCGCCACACTGCTAGTAGTTTCATTGTTGAACTTGTCAGCTATAAGTGTTATTTGCAATGATGGGAATTCCCTTTGTAGTTCAAGAGCTGTAGTCAGTCCCACAATTCCAGCTCCTAGTACACCAACACGTTGATTCCTCATACCAAGATTTTAAATAGTAACAATACCAGCACTGTAGAATAAAACAAAAGTCTAAATATAAAAAAAAAATGGATACAATAACATAAAGCTGACTTTATTTTTTCTCAACATTTAAATTCCAGATGAATTATAACACAAGAGCCTCAAAATACCTTTCTGCACTACTGTTACATATACTTGAACACAAACTAGATTACTATGACTGTTGACTGTATTACATGAAATAAACATATGAACTTACCTTTAGATTAAATAATGACTGAAGTTACCCAATGTCTAAAAACCTTCCAATATGGGACAGTTAACATACAGCTTGAATTGTAATGTACACTTCAAAAGAATATATGTACTACATTATTGTAGATATAAGAGAGTGCACCAAATCACAAATAGAAGTTTCAATATAAATAACTTTTCTATAATTTGTATAACTAAGCACTTGCTTCATCAAATAAATATAACACAAAACACTAAATTTGGATTCACTAAATATAATGATTTAAACAAACAGAGGCCTTAATTCAAGAATACATTTTACTTCAGGGACAAAATACAAACAATTGGCATGGTTGTTTCTCAACTATCCAGATTTCCTTGAGGCTATCTATAGCAATTACTAATATATTCAACAGTTTTGCTTTTTAGAACTACAAATTTATCGTCTATATCATCAGAAAGTTCTTGCTACTTATTAAGCCAAGGATGTTTCAAACACTCAGCAGCAGTTGCTCGCCGATCTGGATCAAACTCCAACATTGGGCGGAGAAAAGAGGTAAATTCTTGTGCTTCTTTATGATCCCATTCGTATTTTTCAGTCAAAACTTCATACAGCCCCCATGGTTTAAGTCCAGTAATATGTCTTAAATTACATCTCTTGTTGAAAAACTGACGAGAGTGTGAACCAGACATTGCTATCTTGCGAGGAATCTCACCCAATAATTCAATTATGTGGGCCAAATGATCTTCATCTCGTGAATAATCGTCTCCTGAATGAGGCTCAAACAGATAATCACCAGTTGCCAGTTCAAAGGCCATACAAGCTGTGCTCCAAATATCTGCTGAAGTTCCATAACCAGCACCTAGTAAAACTTCCAGTGAACGATACTGCCTTGTCTGTATATCCTCGGTAAAGTGCCGATGTGTCCAACAAGCATTTCCTAAATCAGCTATTTTTACTTCAATATCACTGATCTCAAAGGCTGGATCCAATTCTGTCCTAGCACCATTCGAAGACTTGTAAGTAGTTGTTGGTCGAGGTATTACACCTGATGGAGACTTCTGGCTTTTATCGCATGGTTCGGCTTTGGATTCTCCAGATGTTAACCTCTCACCACTTCCTTGTCTCCTTGCTTTTTTCTTACATGTTCGCTGCATACTTTTTTCTGTGGTTATTTCCGAATCTCCCATTGATTTGCTGATTAATTCCTCTTTCTCACAGCCATTTTCATAAGGTGCATTTATCACTTTAGCATCAGATTCCACAGTATCATCACCAACTTCTTCTTCATCTGATTTTCCTGGAGGAGTGGTACCAGAGTCAGCTTCGTTCATGGAAGTTTCAAGTTCACCATCTTGCAAGTCTTTGCGTTTTTGTTCTTCCATTTCTTCAATTTGTTCCATTTGTTTCTTTAGCAATTCAGTTTGACGTTTGGCTTTTTTCTTCAGTTTTTTCTTCTTGCTTTTAGACATTTTGGCATTAGGGTTTGGTTCCTGAAATTCTTTTGGCGCAGTGCTTACTAAAGAGACTGGTAATTTGATTCCCATTGTGTGCAATTCAGTAGCTTCTGATGCTAATTTTCGAATGTAATTCTCGTCAACACAAACCAAAACATTTTCTGGTTTAATGTCAGTGTGAATTATCTTGCATTTTGTATGTAAATAATCCAATCCTTCCAAGACTTGTCGAATAATGCATTTCACATTTTCACGTGGAATTCCACGATAGTTACTTCTAATAATCAACTTCAAAAGATTATGACCCAGCACTTCAAACACCATACACACATGTGTGCCGTTTACACCAGAAATTTTAAAATCATTCAATAGCAGCACTGTCTTAATTCTTTTAGGATCGTTCACGTCACAGTCACGAACCACTTTAAGTAACTTAATTTCATCCAAAGCTGTTTCCGTAAAATGAGACGCGCTTTTTACAACCTTCATAGCAACAAATTGTCTATCTACAAGATCCCAGCAAAGCCAAACAGTGGAAAAGTGACCCCAACCTAACTTTCTGGTGACACGATACCTGCCTTGAAATACGTCCCCAATTTTGACGGGGTGATACCCGCCTTTGCAATAGTCACTCGAGTCTTCTTGTTCTTCTTCGTCAGAACTGAAGTAATCGTCCTCATCATCCTCAATGGTTTCATTCGAGGACGAGTGATACGGATCCACCTTATTTGAGAACGCCCTGGAGTCCCGATTCATTGCTGATCCATATTCCTCATTTTTACCTTTTCGCTTTCCAGGTTTGTGGCGCTTCTTTTTGGCTTTGATAGCAAGAACTCTCCGATTGACATCCGTTCTCGAATTCATTTTAAATGTTAACTAGAACACGAACCACGGAAAGGTGATTATCCCACATATCATATCCTGTCCGATCGTTGTTTGAGCATGGCGGCCGGTCACAACAAAGACCCGAAAATTCTAGGTGGCGCAGAAAACGTGTCCAATGAAAGGATCGTATCAGTGTTGCAGGATGAGGTTCAAAAGCCACACACAACACAAATAACACCAAGTTAACGTATTACATATGCGTGGTAAGCGTGTCATTCACATTTATAGGAAAAATCGGGACACACATAATTTACTATTATAAACTCCCCAACAGGTTAAGGAATGCAGGAATACCTGAACTGTCAATATATGGAACTCGTTGGTTGCCTAACAGTTGTCAGCAGGCACAACTTCACGTAACTAAAGTCCCAAAGAGCAACACCCCCCTCCTCATCAATCAGTTATCTCGATGTAAAGTGTTTTTAAAGTGTCTGCAGAGTGTCTGAGATAAAGTTTTTCAAGTCACATTTTCGTAGGCAACCGATCAGCCGACCGTACAAGAGCTCGACAGCAGCGCACCAGACAACAAATGTTCACACCGTTGTTAGTTTTCTCTAATGTTCAGTAGAGGGCACTGCTGCTAAAGTTGTTTTCACTTTGCATGATTCCTCTTGTTTTGTTCTAGGTGGGTTTTGGCGGGAGACCAGCGGGCGCCAGCGGGAAACTTTTAGGGGGTTGTTTCCTGGTTTCCTGACTGTTTCTCTTGCTTGTGAATGTTGTGAGTCACTAGTAAAATTGTGAGTCACTAGTAACACACTAAAAGTGGAGATTGCCCGAGTACATAGATTTAGATTTCAAGTTTGATATTGGTGTAGCCGTTTGAGTTTTTCATTTCATCAATTTAGTTCGTGTAAATTGTTGGTCTCGATAAAGAGGTAGCTGGAAGGTAGGTTGCAGGGTCGTTTAAAAACTTTTGGATTTTCTGCCCTTGGAAACTACCGTTGTAAAGCACTAATGTTCTTGCATTTTTATTTCAGGCCCAAGTTTTGTGATTACTGTGCTACGATGGCTCAGCCACTTATAACACAATTCTACAATAAACGCAAACGCGCTGCTGAAGGATGCGTTACAGATTTTAAATCAAAAGTGCTGATTTTAGACGGAGAAAATAAGTTGTCTCATTCTGAGGATTCATCACGTGTGCAAGAGCTTGAATGTTCATATGGATCGAAAAAAGTGGCGTACAGTGTTACAGTGGAAGAGAATACGAACGTAATGGTTTGCAAATCGCCAGCAACCGTTACTGATAATCAGGCTCAAGCTGACTCGAGACAGTCTCCGTCAGTAGGGTCGACGAAGGTCTGTAAGAAGCTGCCAATTAAAACTGCCAGAAATAAAGTCCCTCTGAAAACTACAGGAGACATTAGACTGGCCTTTAAACCAAAAGGTCTTAACACAACTAATGCTCCAAACACAGAAATTTCCGAAGGCAAAAATGATTGTGTGAGTTTGACATTTTTTTAGTAATTGTAGTATTTAGTTTATTAAGTTTTAATTTGTTTCTGCAATTTTAGATTTAAACAGAAGATACTTGTTTTTGTTCACAAATATTAGGAGCAAACACTGTATATTACGCATTACTATAAATAACAGCATTGTTTATAGTAATACTTCAGAAAATTAATTTTTCACTAATTATGATTGAGGGGAAAATGTGCAGATTGTTGGTTATACATGTACAAAACTTCTTTGTGCTTGACATTCATCTCCAATAGAAAAGTGACAATAGTGTGAATTTGTGATTTCTCAGAAATTGCAATTTTAAGTTCCGTAGTTTTGTAATACTCATTATAGATTGTACCAAATATTCACCTTCTAGCAGACTGTAATTGAACTAATTCAAAATAAAGTTCAGAATAGTAGCTGTACTTCTTGGTAACCTCTTATCAGCTTTTAGCTGAAAAATGATGATTTCGCACGTGTGTTACTTTTCTATTGGAGGTGCAATTTGAGAGTAATGTGATGTCACCGACAGCAGTTTCCTAGTATGAACAGCTTTTCAGCGACATAAACCAATCTTGTTGTCTACCAACTTGGAAGGAATAGGGAGTTTTTCCACTCTTGAACATTAAAGCAAGGTTAAGATTTAGAGAAGCGTGGCGGTGGGGTTTAAGCCCGAAATACTGTATGTGCTCTAATAGAAATGAATAAAACTTACAGATAGGCAATTTTCATGGTTCGCCCTTCATATGCTTTGTCCGTACCGCATTGTATCGCAAATTTACTTTCAAAGGCAAATCACACTTCACTCGCATGGATCCAAGTCATGGCGAAGCTCGGGCCTTTTGGCCCTCGCATTCATTATAAACATCCTTGACTTTATCCAATGCATAATTACCAATTCACTTTTTTAAGACATCACTTTTCAAGAAAGCCTCCAGAATTCTAACTGCCTAGTTAATGCCGGAACGGTGCAAAGTGCCGGTTTAAATGACTTCCTGAGGTTGTACCGTGTACTACATTTCAGCCGAAAGCGCTATCGATCTTTTGTACATGAGCAGTTAGTTTCGTGTCACTTTTGTGCATCTGCATATGTGCAGATAATCAAGTTTGCTGTCTGCTAAGGCATGCAAAACTCTAGTAAGTAAAGGAGAAAGTGTCATATCAGCTGGCCACTACTGCCATGCATCTGTGATGTCCAATTCCAAAATATTGTATCATTAAAAGTATCCAGACTATTAGGTATGGGGCTGGAAAACATGAAATGTAGAAGACTAATAGTTGATTTTTTGTATAATTGCCCACGAAAGATTATGCTGTGCTTATAGCAACTGCAATAATGTATGGCAATACTGACCCTGCCAAGGCACACATGTCTAGCACAAAGAACAGTGCAATGTATGTATACATTGATTCCCGCAAGAATGTCTTGTCAGTAAGGTTTTTGTATATTAAAAGCTCAAAACATGTATTCATTTCACAAAACTACATTTCTTATGAGAAATATGATTCTGATTTTTTGCACGTATATTTTTTTTTATTTTTATTATTATTATTATCCAACAGGCATATAATGCCTAAATACATTTCATACGTACATAGGTTTATACGCTCTTGAAGATTACAAAATATTTGTCATAAAATAAGTATTGTCAATTGTTGCATATCTATCCAGTGAAATCTAATATGAGTTGTTTG